ATTGCACCAGCATTACTTACAGGAGCTTCGTAATCTCTTCGATGCACACAAAGCCCGCTGTGGCTATCCCAAAGCGCAGTTGTTCTACACTGACTGACAAAATTAATATCATCACAGCAGCAAGGGCCGATTTTACTTTTACAGATACAGCCTTGCACATTTTTTACCGTCGTGACACGACTTACCCGACACACATTGTCCCGATCTTTGCATTAAGCTAAACCTATTTTTACCTCTGTAAATAATATTTATGGTACAGAGAGCATCTGCACAGTCTCCGTCCGCTTTGTAAACCTCGTAAGCTGCTGAAACCCACAGAATTTCTGCTCGTCTGCCGTGAAGTTGTTTATTACAAAGAAACAAACGAAATCTTCAAGTTTTGGCCTTTCAAACTGATAATCTTTTTGGTCGGCCAGGCAAGAAACACAAAAAATTAAACCGTGCTCGAATATATGCATTCGCTTTACTTAAGCACATAAACACAAGAAGCATTACTGTAATTTGGAAACGATTATATTGTACGAACGTATAAATATGACATGTTCCACGAAAACCAAATTGCATACGAAATACTTATCCCCGCTTGTATTAGCACCAATTGGACTTCATGTGCATAGCTAAATTGTGAGCAAGGGCCGCGAGGCCATTAAAGCAACGGGCTATTTCTTGTGAAACTATTTATTCATGCAGCGTATTTATGAGCGGGTTTGAGTTCAGTGCTGTTTAATTAATGCAAACTGGAGTCGCACTCTTCTCCCGATTGATTAGGTCCTTGACAACAATAAGGTATGTCGCCCAAAAGCCGGCAATCTGCAAAGTATGCTTATATTATACAAATTATATATACTACAAGCCCAGCACGGATGAATATTGGCCGATGACTATTAAAAAATAAGTAATTCCAAGGATGTGTTGCTTTGCGGTCGCTTACAGACTGTCAAAATATTAATAAACCCGTACGTATGTTTAGTAATATCATGATACACTTTACATAGTTTAATCGAAACACTGACTGTTTACTTGTACATACAGTACATAACTTGCAATGAGGACTGACGTGATTATGACCAACGTGTTAAGTTACTTACATGAATTTTTTACTTTGTACTGTGCTCCTACTTATTGTTAAGACTAGCAGTTCAGATATTTCTACTGTTCTGGGTCAAGTTGTGTTAGAACAGTGTGCATTTCTTATCGCGTCCATGGTAACAAGCTTATGATTGACCACTGGACCTAGACAAATGATTTTGGCAAAAAGTCAACAATATTGGATCCACCGCTACACCTAGAGAATTTTAATGTACTTTAAAGCAACAAAATTGGTGAAGTAGAAGTCGAGATCCTTTGCCTCAAAGGACAGGTCCCGAAGTCCTGGCACAGATAATCAGTATTCATATAACTATTATATGTTTTGGATTAATCTATTCCCGTTGCGTAGAACAGATCATTACCAGGTACAGCGGCACTTATCGTAAAAAGGTGTCAAAATTGAACGCACCGTTGCGATAATGGATTTGTCAAAAGCGCAGAATCCTCCAAGAGTCACAAATACCGGCCGGATTATCAGAAGCGTGGAAATACTGGAAAGCTTGCGATTATCGTTTGTAAGTTGTTCGCGCTCGTGCTGCTCGGACCAGATTTCATCCGCGAGAATTTGACACTACAACATATGAACTGCTGAAAGAACGACTGTGCATTGAAAGCTGGGATTCCTCCTGAGCGTACAGTGTACGGATTACGAAAGAATAGTAATCACAGTATGTATTAGTAAATCTTTCCTACGGGAAAGATTCACCCTTTAAAGTTAATCAGAGAGCACTATCGTGCAAGAAGCATATATATATATATATACTGTGTTTTATTATTTGCAAAGCAAACATCCAGCAAACCTGCTCTTGCAGCGTAACAGCAAGATACGCCGGAAAGACGATCAATCCAACGAAATTCCATATGAAGGTAGCAAGCGCTTCCGTTAGGTGGTGCCATTTATGTTCGCTTGTTTCATGCACATATGACTCCAATGAACTGAGTTCGGACAGAGTAAAGAGAGTCTGATTAGCGACATGCAGCAATATAATAAAGGAATACAGTTCTTCGAATTGAAAGACGGCCTTTCGCAAATTAAGCAGAACTGTATCAGAACGCCAGATCTGCTCTGCACGTCCGATGATGGCGGTCGCTTTCGGTTTTTCCGAATAGCACGAACAACAGACTTCAAAGCGTACAGCCCGGTGCCATAACCGACAACTACGGCGATCCAAAAGAAAAATCCAAAGGTCATTAAAGAGTAATATGTGATCATTAATTCCAAGTATGATATATTCTGTAGAAACGGGAAATATTCCTCATTCAGAAACCCATTTTTTAATAAAATTTCGGTTAATGTTTGAGTCAAGGTAAAGGTGGTGGTAAAAGCAACCAGTAACCGCTTTTCAAAACTCCGCACCGCGCCGATTGTAATTAAGACCTTGTCGGTTCCCAGAAACTCCTCCGTAATGAAAATCAAATGGTTCAACAATTTGGTAAGTTTTACCAAGGCTTTTCGCTTGATAAATATTGGTAACATTATAACCACAATCAAGACCTGGCGAACTCGGTAGCGGGATCTCTGAAATAATTTATCGAAACCGGCACTCGAACTAAGAACCTCATGAAAGTAATTTAAACCCGACCGAATCGTGCAAAATACTGCTGCCAGAAAAGCTATCAAACAGAAGACCTGAAATATTCGTATCCGGCATAACGCTGCTTTTTCTGACGGCTGTGCTTTTCGGTCTCTCGTGGAGTATCGGTCCTGGCGACAAGGGATACCTATACCAAAGACAGCTTCTAGAAACCTGTTGGAAAACGTATGTTCCATAACCGTGCAAAACGTTTTCAATCTTAACAATGACTCCAGCAAAGGACGCTGTTTTAACCACGAACTACTGCGCGATAGTAAAGTATTTTAGCACAAGAGGGGCTAAATCTCTTGGAAATGCTGATGCAGTGTCTGACAGATGTCAAGGAATAAACTTCTGACGGTAGTGGGAACTAGGCACCGCGTGTCATGGTTCAGCTGCTGCAGACTTCCCTTAGGCAAAGAAACAGTCAGCAGTTCGTCGGCTACGACAGTTGTGCATAACTGCAGCTAAGGTTTCTTGTTTGGCATGGTACTCGCATCATACAGGAGCAGGGATACGAATGCGGTTTCGACAGTACCAGATGCTTATCTGGAAAAAGGCTGGGATTCCTCATGATTGTACGGATAATAAAAAATACGAGTAGTAATCATAGTATTAGGTAAATTTTTTAATTATCCTTTTAAGTTAATCAGAGAGCGCTATCGTGACGAATGCATGCACGAGAGCTTGACGTAGTGTGTGACAGATGTCAAATAATTAAACACTGGTAGAAACTGGAACCGGCTATCGCGTCTCGTGCCAATCGTAGGGGATATATATTAGCTGTAGCATGGAAATAACTTTCGCAATGCGAGGACTTCCTCAGGAAACGCTTGGCAATTTGAATGTACCGCCAATATAAGGACGGTCGGATCTTAGGCGTACAGAGCTTTTTACAGAATTATTACTCGAAGTATGCGTACAAACACAGCAGTGGCATTCAAAACACCATGGAAAACGGTACGCAACGTAAATGCGGTTATTACCACAAATATTCCGAGGGAATAATTTTCTGCCTACGCATCTGTGGAATTCTAATCTGGTTTTCCACTGAATCTAGACTGCAGCGGTCTTACCGGGCCGTAGCTATGAAAACCAGTTTTACCATGCTAAGCGTCACAAGTCTGGTCGGTTATCTTCTTACCTACATTGATGCTATGGTCAACAGTGGACAGGGAAAGTTGCCATTATCTGTCATAGCAGCAGCGTACGTAATTTGCACGCTATCAGGCTTGTTGAATCTACATTTATTCGACCGCAACAGCACGCGCCTCTTGTTCTCCATAGAACAGATCGGATCCATGCAGCTGTCAGCCACATCGCCAAAAAATTACCTCATTTTTCTATGCATCGAATGCGCTGTGATATCTGTAGTGTTTATCCCGCTGGAATACCTGCGAATGATGAGCATTTGGCACAGCACGGTAACGGTTTTCGGGTATGAATTTTGGCCAGTGTATGCTCGCATCTTCACGGTGGTGGCACTAGGCTCGGTGATCGCTATAAACCTTGCGCTCACCCTATGTTTCGCATTCAACGCGGCGATTATCGGCGCTCTTTTTGATAGCGTTAAGCAAAAAACCGAAGCAGTATTCCGGGCTTACAAAGCACACCGTATTGAATACAAGCACTTCGAGTCGGAGTTGACAGCTTGCCGGGTCGAACATCTGGCCTTGACAAACATTGTGGAAGAACTCGACACAGTTTTTGGACCAGTAAATCTGGTGACACTGGCGACATCCGTAATTATTCCCGTCCTTTTAATCAGTGTTGCGATGGGCGTGGTGCCGCAGAAGTTGGGTTATCTCTTCGTAAACAATACCGCTGATTTGATACATTTGTACTTGTCGGCCACAGTGGGTCTGTGGTTTCTTGGGCATACATTAATGAGCGCAACGTACATGAATCGCAAGGTAAGGCTGAGATCTACAAACAATGCAGCGGTTAAAGGTTTTATTTGCAGGCGCATTCCATTGAGTCGGTTTTGCACGGCATTTGTGAAGAGATCGTCACTGTCGGTAACGATGGTCTGGATCAGCAGATCTGCAAGACACTACGCCGTCTTCATTACCATCCGGTGGAGTTTACGGCGTGGAAGATTCTGCGATTTAACTCTGACCTTATTCTAACGGTACTAACAGATTTCCCGCCAAAATGGCTTATGGCTAGGAGGGATTTGTTTTTGCAGGTTGGTGGAATTCTGGTAACATACCTCATTGTTGTCTACGAAATCAATAACGACAATTCTGCTCGTTCTTCACAGTTCACTTTGTCTAACCATACATAACCGTAAGTGGCGCTGACGCATTACAGTATAACCATACTGAACCTTGAAATCGATTTTTGTCCTGTTTTACAGTATTACTAAGCACTTGTGTAAAAACACTAACGAAAGTAAAGGGCTCGGGATAAAACAGACAAAGGAGAGGCTTCAAAACAAATGATGGGCATCGTGAGTTGATACCAATTCGTGGCTAATGTTATTACCAAACTCCGTTCTTCTTTTGCGGATTCATGTACGATCCCAAAGGACAACCGAAAGCCTGAGCAAATTCGGGCATGTTTGACATAGCCCCATTGATGCAGAATTGAGGCACAGCATGTACACTGGTCAGCAGTTTCATCCGGTAGGATTCGCCTGTTCGGATCTCACACCATGCCTTTAAATCAGATTTTTTACTGTTACAAAGTATCTAACCTTCTGAATGTCATACTCATCAACATACCGTTGCCGTGGAAAGGAAGAATAGCTGTTCCGCTGTGAAATGCTCTAATCCCGGAAGCGAAGCAGTGGTGTTCACTGACTGGAGCGCTTTACGCAATGCCTGGATAACGCCAACAAAACACACCGTGCTATAGTATAAGATGACTTCAAGCACTCTATTCAGTGGTTATCCAGTGCGTACCTTAAAAGCAACCTTCAGTCCACCATTATCCGCAATGTTCTCTGTCAGCGTCAGTTGCCCGTTAACCGACCCGACATCCAGTGAGTAACGGTTGTACTGGTCAATTAAGGACTTCGCCCGTTCTTTGTACACCGCTAATGTCTCGTTTGACCACCACGACGTCAAGCCGCCCAGCTTTCCAAATAGTGAACCTTTTACAGAAAAATCGAGTATAGAAAAAACAGTATAAAAAATTCTGGAAATCAAAATGCACACGTCTATGTCAGAATAATTATTACATAATAATTATTTTTCATAAAATAATAATTTCCGATACCTTGCGTGTCAAAACCATGCGTGAATTCGTGGCCTACGGTGAAGCCTGTTGCTCCATATATGACAGCTTCCGGTACATCTCGATAGAACAGTGGCATTTGTAGTATGGACAGAGGATTGTCTGAAATGGAAAAAATCTTGGCAAATTAATGCGATCGAAACTCCCGTATCGTCGCGCTGTCTTCTTACATAAGGTGTTCGTCACCGGCTCATAAGCGGCATAAATCTGTGTGTTATCATAGGCATTGTCAAGGGGATCATCACGGTGCCACATAGTAGCCAGTTTGGCCATATTTCGGATGGTTCCGCTTTCGGTTACAGCTTGGAGAGTCTCGAAAAAATTCGCGCGTACTTCAATCTGTAAAATATTCGCGCATTCAGATAATTCAACCGCTTACAAGCCACATTTCCTTACATTTTTGTAAAGGTCATCAATGCGCTGACGAATTTCCGGCTTGGATCGATAGCTAACCATGAACTGTATGTTGCGCATTTTTTCCTGCGCGTACGATCGCGTTGCATTATCCAGCCACGGAGTTTCAGCTAACAAATCGGTCAGACTGCTTTGCAGATACCTGGCAAATATCGTCGCCTACACAATGAAAGTTTCAGGCTTACCATTACATTCTCCATGTCTCACATAGCTAGCGGCAGTTATAATACCTTTAATTTAACTTCCGCTGGGCAAGCTGATTACACAAACTACAAACTGCAGTATTACACTAGATTTGTACGCAATATGGATGCATTACATATGTTTCCAAAGGTTTATATTTTGTAGTGGATTCATAATAATGCTATTATTAAAACATTCACATAAACTGTAGACGTTTTGCTTCTCGTAGACTGTAGTAAACCAAATAATACCTTTTCTGAGATAATATCCGACGTGTTGAGGTATTTGGCGTACATCTCATTGATCGCCAATGGCATCGTGCTGGTGACATACTGCATGCACAGGCTCTGGGTGTCACCAGTGAATTTTGTCCGGTACTTTTTCGGCAGCCAATCGCGGTTGCCCGCGATAATCTTCCAGCCGATATAGTTAGCCAGACGGCGCTTACCATCCGCCCCGGCACTTTACAGTTCGCGCAGTTTCTCATCGACTTTCGTTAGATAATTCGGGCTCATAGCAACCACCGGCGTTTCATCCGTGATCAAATGCGATATGTTGGCTCGGATAAAAAGAGTCCGCACAAAATCCGTGAAATTGGATAACAGTGCCGACTGAAAGTTTTTCGCTCTCTGTAGTTCTCCTAAGGTTGTCTCTGCTTTATTGTCTGTTAAATCTGTTTTCTGTTCTGCGGTCTTCTTGGCCTATTGCATGTAATCACAATGACCTTTAGCGATTCATCGTTGTACATATTTGCACCCAGTTTCTTACCAAGATGATTGTCCGGCCGAAACCCACGATACTCGTTACATCTTTCTGAAATTCTCTGCTGTTCAAATTAACTGACGAATTGGCATCGCTTGCTAAATCCGTTGCGATTGCCGTCACCCAATCCAGGTACTCCTTAGTGTACCCCTCGCCTCGATCACTGGATAGGACGTCACGGCTGTATATTTCTGTGGGCTCGTCAATTTCGATCCAGTACTTGGAAGCATCATACAAGCTGTTCTCCACAGAGATTCTCAACAGAATCGGCTGCTGAGAGTAGAAAGCGGAAACGAAAATCGAGTTCAACGAGGCATTCGCCGACCAGTTTTTCTGTAACAGCGGCCAGCCTCCGATCAGGCGGTCTAGTGTGTCCAGTAACGGTCTGGTGCCTAGCTTTTCGCGTTGCTCTGCAATTTACAAAAGCCAGACTACACAATAAACACCGCATTTTGCTCATTATTGTTCTGGTTGTGTTTTTTTGGAAGAAACCAAGGAGCGAAATATAGTTCTGGGAAAAGAGTAAATAATTGATAATTGTGCAAAGGAAAGACCGTGCGCAAAAGTTGTAGGGACAAAATTATGGAAGGCGCTACTGCTATTGGCAACTGATAAAATGCGCAATAATTACTGGTTCGCGCTTTATTATTGCAACTTCTGATTTCAGGCTTTGTTGAATGTTTTTAACAGGCATTCTGGAACTTTTGGATAAACACTTGACACGAAAAATTGGGGTACAACCTAGTACCGACACATACCATCATCGGTGCATTGTGCATAGACCCTTCTTGCGGTGGTCCCAGCATAAAAATTCGTGGCTTCCGTTGAGTTGAGTATGTCTACAACCAATGATGCAATCAGTACGAGTATAGTGCATGCAGCGTGTCATTTTGTGGGCACTGTAAAACGCACACAAACTGCGTACCTAGCTTTGCTTTCGTTACTCTTGGAGAGAGCGAATCAATAAAATAAAACGCCGGTGGTTTATGGTTGGCTATATACTTTCCGCAGGCGTATGCGTAGAAATCATCGCACGGATTGGCTGATGTATTCACACTGTCCTTTATATCTTGGGCTAACAAAAGAATCCAGCTGCGTGAAGCGAATCACTTTTATAGTTTAATCGCTACAGTTGAGGTCTTTACCTTTCAGTTGGCAAACATCGGCTTGGCAAGCCTCCGATGCAAAGGTTCCATTATAGAGTATACCCGCTGTGTTGAAGCTTTGCGTATCACAGAACACAGTAGGAAATATTAATACCAACATCAACCAACTTATAGTCGACATTCTGCGACAATCTCTTCTCGCCGTTCTAGCAATGACTACGAGTACTGGTATTAAGCGATGAGGTGCTAATGAGGTGTATGACTTGTCTTCTCCGATGATTTAATCCTCGGGCAAATTCACTGCAGTTCGATTATGCGGAGCGAACGGGAAGTGGAGCACGTACGGTCAGTTTTAGCTGAAGTGCCTAAGGATATTCGTGCCAGCGTATTGGTTTTTTTCCTGCATTGCCGGTTTTTCTTGCATTTTCCTACTCTTTTACAAATCTGTCGGCAGTTTTGCGCTGCCATAAGTGATTATGCAACATTGCTAATTATATTTTCCAGTTTCTAGCGCCCGCTGCTTGTTTATTCCCAGATGATGAAAATTACAATAACAGTTAGCGTGATCCGCGATTCTTCGGCCCACAAACTGCGTTCTAAAGCCGTGCCCACAGGCCACAGATATTATGTTATTGCAAACGAAAAAAAAAGATGTTGACTGTATTAAAATTGCAGTAAAACAATTAAGTATTATTATTACAACTGCGCCGCATGCTGCCTTCAGATCGATGCGGCTGTGCTACTTTGAAGTACCTTACGAGCTTTGGTGCAAACCTGCAGAAGCAATACTTAGCTGCAATCCGACGAAGATTTCTAAAATAATCACGACGTTTGGCCGATTATCACATACGTGGACGGAGGAGACTGACCTCAGTAGTAGGATTTACGTTATTCGGCCACAAGAGCAAGCGGCTCCTTTCATTTTCTTCGTGCAACAAACCATACGGAAGGTTCGAGAGCATTCTGCCTGGATAAGAAATTGATATCAACCACATTGATGCTGAGGTATTTATTTCAGTGACGCATGCATCTTAGGTCTTACGGCGCCAGCAGAGCTTCTTTCGCTGACATGTTTGTGAGTGTCACTGTTGCATTTCTTTCTAATTTCGGCTACGACTTTCAACTGATATACTTACTTCTACTCGTAAGTAGAGGCAGTGATTGCAAATTTCGTAAAACCTGTAAGCTGGGGCTTGCTTTGCGTTTTGCATTGAATTCTGTGACGATTGGCGCACTTTTTGTTCTTAGCAAGCGAAAATGCGAAGAATTGTTTCGAGAAAATACAGCACGTCACATGTACTATAAACCCTTAATCATAAGCCCCCGGCGTTTTATTTGATCGGTTCGTTCTCTCCAAAAGTATCGTTTATCAGCACAGATTTCGTCACCATACTCCGTTTTTCTTTTTTGGATTCATAGGGGAACCAATGGTGCAGTTAAAGGCTTCGGCAAATTCTGGCATATTAGACATCGCACCGTTGATGCGGAATTTCGGTATGCCGTGCGTACTAGTCAGTAGTTTCAACCGGTAGTCATTTTTCGATCGCGTTTCACACCAGGCCTAAAAAGGATACTACCTCACTAAATGCCATTAGAGATACCTGCAAGCTTATTACCATACCGTGCTAACGCCAACGAAAAATAGTTGTTCCGGCGTAAACTTTTCCAGTCCCGGCAAGGATCCCGTAGAATTCGTTAACCGCAGCAGCTTGCGAAATGCCTGCGGTATGTGAAATTATTTAATTTTACTTTTTTATGCAGATAATATTGTAGTATTGGACAAATTAAAGCGGAGCACCAGATTTAATTGTTGTGTTCCGTATATTAGTAAAAGATCTATCAAACGCAATCGCTATACCTTGAAAGCGACTTTCAAGCCGCCATTATCAGCAATGTTTTCGATAAGAGTCAGCTGACCGTTAACCGATCCAACATCCAACGAATACCGATTGTACTGGTCGACCAGCGATTGCGCGCGGGTTTTATACATGGACCATGTCTCGTTCGTCCACCAGGACACTATTCCACCCAGCTTACCGAATTGAGCACCTGGGTGCAGTAGAACTGCCACTTCACACAGTATTTCTCAAGTTTTACATACGAGAGCATGTTGTTCCAACGAAAGCAGCCCAAGTTGATTCAAAAGTATATGTACCTCGGGTGTCGAAGGCGTGTGTAAATTCGTGGCCCACCGTGAAGCCGGTGTCTCCATAGTTGATGGCATCGGGAAAATCGGGATGAAAGATTGGCTTTTGCAAGATTGCCAATGGAATCACTGAAAATCATGGACATAAACTGCAATGCCTTTATATAAAGCATTAGTTTTCAAGTGCGACACCAACGCACAAATGTGGAAGACCCTCGCTGTTTTTACTTACAACTTTAACAAATGATTGGCTTCGGCGGCTTGTAATAAGGAGCATGCATGCGAACACTAACAGCAGGTATAGGTATATCCTGTACATTGCACAGCTTTATGTGGCACCGTACAGTGTAGTAAAAAACTAAATGCTTCGTTGTATGCCCACTGCTCAGACAGGCGCTTTTCTGGTCCAGTACTGGCTATTTACACTCAGTGCTGGCTATTTACGTAGGTATATTCGCGCACGAATTCGAATGTCCATATACTCGAAATACATATATTCCAATATACTCGGAACGAGTATATTCGCGCTGCTTACGCATGTACTTATACTTCGAAGTATTGATTTCATTACACAAATTTTCAGCCGAAGTCCGACTGCACCGGATTTATACGTTTTGTAATGTATTGCAGTACGTACCCATCGTGCTTGTTACTGTTTCATAAAACGCGTTGACTCGTGTAGTATCCCACACGGTGTCGTTCCGCTGGAAAACTGTATCCAGCTTGGCTAGGTTCTGGAGACTTTCGAATTCTTTGATTGACTGAACAGTTTCATAGAAATTGGAACGCACGGTGATCTAATATGCATCACAAATCATTAGCCCAAACGAAATGCCTGTTTATTAAAAACCATATACATTCTGGTACAGGCTGTCGATTTTCTTTTTAGTTTCCGGCGTGGATGTATAGCCGATGACAATCTGGATGTTTTGTAATTTCTCCAGAGCGTACTGTCGTGTGACGTTGTCCAGCCACGTCGATTCCGTTATCAGATCCGATAAACTACTTTGTATATTTTTGGCAAACGGTGTTGCCTACAGATGTAGATAGAATGTTTCAAAACTTTAGAAAAAAATACGTAATTTTATGTGGCTGTTAAGCAACTGCGAAACTCAAGCCTGACCTTCGCGATAACGTTGGAAGCATTTACGCGTTCGGCGTATATTTCATCGACCAACAATGGCATCACTTCAGTCACATACTGTGCACACTTGGCATTCATATCCGCGCTAGTAAACTTGGACTTGCCGCGGTACTCTTTTGGCAGCCAGTTGCGACTGCCGACGATCACTTTCCAACCGATGTAGTTCGCTAATCGCCGTTTGCCCTCGATACCAGCATTCTCCAGTTCCCGCAGTCTTTCGTCGACTTTCATCAAATAATTTGGACTCATGTCCACCACCGGCGTATCGTCCGTGATCAAGTGTGATTTGTTGGCGCGCTCGAAAATTGTTCGTATTAAATCCGTTAAATTTGATAATAAGACCGACTGGAATTTCCGGTTTCTTTGTAACGCCCCTAAAGTCGTCACTGCTGTCTTATCCTTCATATCCTGATCCTCTACAGCTGTCTTTTTTGCCTGCAAAAAGAAGGTCACTTAAAAAAGCGACCAAACAAGGAAAACAGCGAGGAGAATTTACCATAATTATGGTTCGTCCAAAATCCACAATACTCGTTATATCTTTCGTAAACTGAACAGCGCTAGTGTTGACCGGCGAATTGGTGCTGTTGACCAGCATGGTCGCCATTTGTGTCACCCATTCGATATACTCTTGCGTGAGTTTCTCACCGCGTTCACTCTCCAGTACATCGCGAGAATAGAATTCCGTCGGCTCATCCAGCTCAATCCAGTACTGCGAAGTGTTTAGCATACTCAACTCTACGGAGATCTTCACCAGCATCGGTAACTGCGAATAATATGCGGAGACGAAGATTGATTTCAGGGTGGCGTTTGTCGTCCAGTTGGACATTATCATCGGCCAACCGCCAACTAAATTATCCAGCGTATTCAGCAGCGGTTTGGTGCCGAGTTCTTCCGTTAATTCTACAATTATTCATTACAGCAGCTAGAAAGTATGATACAGTATAAAGTAAGCACAAGTTTTACTATCGTCAACACATTGCGCAAACAGTTTCCTCGCCGTTATTTCCGCGGTGCAGTTCGTGGGTGCCGTTGATCGTAACAAATCTGCATCATAAATTAACAATTTGTCCATACACATTCACGCAGTTTATTAAGAGAGTCTAATGGTAAAGCTTACCCTGTTTAGTTTTTGCGACTGTTGCTGAAATAGCTTCAAGGAAGTAGAATGCTGGTGGAGAACGCGTTGCGGTGTAATTTCCGCAGGTGTATGCGTAAAAATCATCGCAAGGATTCAGTGATTCGTTCAGGCTGCTCTTTATATCCGTGGCTAGGTACAGAATACATAAAATTGGTCAAATAAATACTACCACTTTAAAAAATTTAAAGCAAACATCCAGAACATAATCTCTCTTTACCTTTCGCCAGACAAATATCCGTTTGGCAAACATTTGATGATACCGGCGCGAACTGGACTAGTAAACAGTTTATTGTCAAGAATAGAAGTACCCTCAGATCAGTTTGAACGATCATTATGGTTATGGACTAGACCATAAAAACAACTATGGAGAGATTATCCAGAGTTCCGTTTCCTAGTTATACTGCTTTAAATCTGCGCGGCAGTTATGGTTTTGCGGTTGCATAACGGAGAATACTTGCTTGCCTTCTTGTCAACAGCAAAACATTACGGGTGCCGCAAATCTGGCTTTTAACTGACAATGCCCTGTGGCTTCAAAGTTTTTCCGTACGCTGACTGAAAAACTTAATATGATTCAGCCTACATTGGTATGCAGTGTAAAATAGCATCATAATTAAGCGGACATTCCGCTTATCTTGTAGCACCACTTCTTGATAATCGCTAATTACTGCCAACTTAATTCTGGTTCTATTTCTTTACTATTTCTGTTCATTCTGCATGGTTGCAAAAAGACTGCGCCCGACTTTTATGAACTTTATTAACCAAACGATCGTCAGCAGTGTTATGTAACGGAAGAAACGTACTTACATTCATACAAGCGTTCCGTTTGTGGTATAATGTTAAGACTGTAATTTTATTTTGCAACGTAAAATAAATTTAAAGAACCAAAATCGATTCCGTAATATAATGCCCACCAATCGCGAAGCTCATTGCCAGAAATTATCTTCTATCGATGCCGCTGCATTCGCATTTCGCTGATGTGCCAGTGCAGGCTCCGTCTGACAGTGGACGCGTCACCATTGCTTTCCTTCGGATCGGCATAGCGGACGAATTAAACATCTTGCTTCCGCTTGTAGGTTATTACACCGCGGCAACTACGTACCAGGCGGCTTTTCTTCGATGCTGCTGCGATTTTCCGGAACCTCCTACTGTAGATTTACCGGTACATCTGCGGAATATGATCCGGTAATGATTTTTACAATCATCATCATCCGCTTCAGTACTGTAAAAAGGTACACGTTCAGTTGCATTCTCACACGCGTCTTCATTAATACTTTAGCCTTTGTGCTAAGGAACCTGTCGCTGCAAAATTATGATAATTATCTAATCGCCCATGAAGAATGTCACCGTCCGACGGCATCCGTTACGGTGCCCCAACGGAGATAGTCTGTGCGGTCCGCTTCAGTTTCTTCCGCTTCGATTTCAGTTCTGATTAACCGCTTCCTGTGGCGCTCCGGTAACTACCTGCTTGCTGCCCAATTAATCTCGGAGATGGCAGTAAGGCCAAGTCGTGGTGGGGCTATTTGGGGCGCTTTCGGTTCGGCATGCATAAGAAGTGTCGGTGTAACTCCAACATGATTGACAGTGTTACATGGAAAGATTCCGGCAGCTACGAACGCTGGTTCTATATTAACGATCGTCTTGACGGTTAGACCGTCCAGGAAGCTTATCTGTACGCCATCTAACTTTTTATTCTGGAGTGGTCAGGAATTTTTGTTAGGAAATTTTGTTAGGAAATTTTGTCAGGAAATTTTGTTAGGAAATTTTGTTAGGAAATGAAATTTTGTTAGGAAATTTTGTTAGGAAATTTTGTTAGGAAATTTTGTTAGGAAATTTTGTCAGGAATTTTTGTTAGGTTCGGTATTGAGAATCTGCAATTATCGAATGTCCCTAGATAAGGTTTACGATACATAGCAGCGCCTTTTTCTGGTCAGGGTCAGAAATGGATTGAAATGGTTCAGTACTTCCGTCTGTACCGAACAACTGTGTTCTGTCGCAGTACAGGATAACAGATAGTGATGCAGAAACTATTAGTAATATACTAAATAACTAGTAAGCATTAATTGTCATCCTTTGTTTATTTGCTTTTACAGATGCATAGACTCTTTGATCAAAGTATCAGCTTAGGTTTGCATGACTGTACGAAAACTACGGAGTAGGAACAGCGTTCATGACGATGCCGGCGCAAATCGGACTAGTAAGAAGCTGATTATCAGGAGCATACTACCTTGATGAGGTTCAGCAATCATTATAAACCAGGCTTTAATAATAACATGAGAAACTATCGAAAACTCCACTTCACAGCAAAAAGTATTTTTACTGTGGAACGAAATTTTCGGGACGGTTGTGGTTACTGGTCTTAGTCGAGAAAACAGCAAAACATTATAGGTACATAGCCGCAAATCTGACTTTTAATTGCAAATGTCCCATAGCATCGCAGGCCGTACGCCGATAAGAAACACAATAATTATGATTTACTCCCCACGGGTATGCAGTGCAAACCAAAGTAAGTTCCATATTATAAAATTTAAAAACAAACATAGGAAGTTCCATATTGTAATGCCCAATACCACATCAATCGTGAAATGCTCAGTGATCCAGTTTTATGACATTTAGCTATCTTCTATCCAAGCCCTTGCATTCGCATTTTGCTGGTGTGCCAATGCAGGCTCCGTCTGCAAACCGCATGTTGTGACAGTAGACGCGGCACCATTGCTCTCCTTCGGGCCGGCATAGTCGACGAATTCGTCCTCCTACTTCCGCTTGGGACACTGCGGCAACTACGGACCGGACGGCTCTCCTTCGATGCAGTGATTTTCCGGAGTTTCCAAGATTTAGCGGTATATTTGCGGAATATGACCCGGTAATGGTTACTGAAATCAGCACCATTCCGGTCAATATTATGAACAGGTAAAAGTGCAATAGCATTTCAGACACGTCTTCAAATCGTTCTGGTTTTGCGTTAAAAAACCTCTCGCTGCAAAATAATGATAATTTTTTCGAAGAAGCACTTGACATAGGTTTTTATCATAAGTCTGTACGCTTTAATATCTAAAGGTCAAGCATATTAACCGTTGGAAAGGCACATGTCAAGTGTTAATGGGGGAAGACCGTAGACAACGGTGTACGATACTCCATTAATCGTTGTAATGGTATCAGTTGCTGATAAGATGCCTGTACCGTTCCATTGTTTGTCATATCTCACCGCTCCCCATGAGTCAGCTTTTAATCAGGAATAAGAAAGATAGTGATAGATTGTTTGACGCACGTTTCTTTCTTTAGATAAAAAGCATTGATCTTTTACTAAAAATTTATAATTTATAAGTTTAAAAGTAGACAGTATTATACGGCATTATCAGGTTTGCACTCGATAATGATAATACTGTAGTTAAGAAAGGTGGAGCTATACAGATTGCGCAAACGTTGCACACTTCTCTTGCATGGTTGCTGCATCAACGTGGTTTTAGCATTTCAGTTATGATAATGTAAACAACTTTTTATGGATTTAAAAAGTGGTGCCAAACTTGGGAAGTAAGAAGCAGATGTACAACCCGATCATCTATATATTCATTAAATCACACATGTTTCAACATTCCAAAGCACACACAATTTCGAGCATACTGCTTGTACAATGGCGTTTTGGTTTTCAAATACGTAACCACTTGCTACAGAACGAGATCCGTTCTCGAACCACACCCTTTTCAATTCACCACACGCCGTTCTTCTTTTGTGGATTCATTGGGGATCCAACGGAACAGTTGAAAGCTTCCGCAAACTCCGGCATATTTGACATAACACCATTAATACGAAACTTCGCTGGTGCGTGAACATCGGTTAACAGACGCATGCGGTTTCTGTCGTTCGTACGCACTTCGCACCATGTCTGCAAAATTTATAAACATAGTATACGGAGCATGCATAATATTTATATACATAGTATACGTATTTACTGAAAATAGTCTGATTCCAAATTTCGCTAGAGATAATGAACTTCTTATGCGTTCTTACAGTGCCGGTTGCGATGAAAAACAGCTGTTCCGGTGAAAACTTTTCTAATCCAGGCAAAGCGTTGCTCGTACTCGAATGAGGCGATTGAAGTGCTTTTCGCAAAGCCTAGAACACGCAGCTTGCATCTGTTAATTTTAGTCTGTCGCTTGGTCTTAAGTATACACTTACCTTGAATGCCACTTTTAGTCCACCATTATCGGCAATATTTTCGAGTAGAGTCAGATGACCGTTTACCGATCCGACATCCAACGAATACTGATTATACTGATCGATCAGCGATAGGGTGCGGTTTTGATAAATTGACCATGTTGTGTTGGTCCACCAGGATTCTAGCCCACCGAGTTTTCCAAACTGTGCACCTACCAAAATGTTCATTTCCGTCTAACATGCCGATGCCAGCTTTTGTCCTCTTCTAACAGACTGGAGCTACTGCTGACTATTACTGAAGACTGAGTAGTTGAGCGGTTTTGCTCCTAACCCAAGTAATACCTTGTGTATCGAAACCGTGCGTAAATTCATGCCCAATAGTAAACCCTGTGCCACCAAAGTTGATTGCATCAGGGAAGTCCGGGTGGAACAAAGGATCCTCCAAAAGCGCCAGTGACATTCCTGTGTCACACGGATCGCATTAATTTACAGTGATACTCATACAGTACTACTACATAACGAGCTGACATCATAACATAACGAGTGTCGCGAAGTTTTATACCTAGACTGTTAACTGACATGTAGGCTGCATTAATTTTTGTCGCGTCGAAAATCACGTCAAAAGGATCGTCACGATGGAAAGCCGTTCCGAGTTTTGCAAGGTTCCTTAAGGTTTCGTCTTCTCTGACTCCTTGTAGTGTCTCCATGAAATTCGATCGTACTCCGATCTGCAACGAGTGGACGAAACGTTCCGAGATTTAGGAAATCTCATTATACTGTGTAATAAAATACGAGTATAATAAAAGTGGATAAAAATAAATAAAAAATAAAAAGAGAAAAAAACATAAATTTTAAATTTTAAATAATTCTTATTAAATAGTCAAATAAAGTATAACAATTAAATTTACTAAATTTAAACGAATCTTCCTTTGGCTTACGTTTTTGTACACATCATCGATGCGGAGTCGACTTTCTGGTGTTGATGGAAACCCAATTACAAGTTCCATACTCTGTAGCTTGGCATGCGCCAGTTGCCGGGTGGAATTATCTAACCATGTTGTTTCGTTCAGAAGGTCACCTAGGCTGCTGCGCAACCGTTCCGTGAGATTCGTAGCCTGTGAATGTTAATATTGCCTTTATAGCGCATTCTTTAGTTCTGTAAATCATGCTGCGCACCACTGAACCACTCTGTAGATAAAAAATGAATTTGATTAACAAATCGAAGCTGACCTTTTCTATAATGGCCGTTGCATTCGCATACCGAGTACACATCTCGTTGATGGCCAGCGGCATAACGTCGGTCACATACGCCATACACTGACTCTCCATGTGACCGGTAAATTTCGTCCGATACTTTTTGGGCAGCCAATTGCGACTGCCGACAATCACTTTCCAGCCGATATAATTGGCTAACCGGCGCTTTCCTTCTTCACCGGCAGAGTCCATTTCCCGCAACTTTTCATCCAGCTTCATTAAATATTGTGGACTCATATCCACCACTGGCGTATCGTCAGTTATCATATTGGACTTATTCACCCGATCAAACAGGGTGTGAATCAGATCCGTTAAATTGGAAAATAGCGTGGACTGAAAATTGCGATTTTTCTGCAGTTGTCCTAAAGTGATAACGGTTTTTCTGTCTGTTAAATCTTGAGTCTGCTCCGCAGTTTTCTTTGCCTGGAAAAGCATTTACTGAATATTATCTGTTTTGTAAACCTTGCAAATCTCCATACCAGAATGATGGTCCTCCCGAAATCTACAATGTTCGTAAGATCCTTAGACTTGGTCACATTGACCGATGAGTTGACGCTTAATGCCAGTGCGCCGGCTAATTCGGTGACCCACTGAATGTACTCTTCCACGTACTGTGCTCCCCGCTCGCTGTCCAGCATATCCCGGCTGTATAATTCATCTGGTTCGTTTAGCTCAATCCAGTACGCCGACGGATCGTATAGACTGATTTCTACCGAGATTTTCAAGAAAATCGGTAGTTGCGAGTAATAAACCGATGTAAAGATGGATTTTAGAGTGGCGTTGTTGGACCAGTTGGTTGTCAATAGCGGCCAACCGCCAATCAGCCGGTCCAGTGTGTCGAAAAGTGGCTTTGTGCCCAGTTTCTCTCTCTGCTCTGAATTGGTTTGGATATTTTATAGAGGAACATTAACCTTGTTAGGTACAGCTTACAACGGTACGCAAAATAAACTGAAAACTACTTCTGTTGCTGTTCTACATGATATTGATAAATCTGTTACTGCGTGGTGCGTACTTTACTCGCACAATCATAAGATAAGTAATTATTGTTATAAGGTCCTGTGCGAGTGCAACGCAAGTGCTTTATTCTATACCGTCATCCAAACACTGAGCGTATAATTTTCTCACGGTGACCTCTGCAGATGAATTTGTCGGACCCGTTGCTTTCAACATCGCTAAAATCATTACAATAAAATACTGAGTTTTATTAATGCGGATTCCTGTGCGGTAGCATAATACACTAAATACAGTAAGTGCCTACCCGATTTGGCGCTGGCAACTTTAGCGGAGACAGCATTGGTTATGTAAACAGCGGTTGGTTTATGTACCGCTTGAAAGTTACCGCAGGCATATGCGTAGAAATCTTCGCAAGGATTTGCCGATTCATTGATGCTGTTCTTTATATCAGCAGCTTCATATACGAATGAAAAAGTGGATCCATTGGTTAGTTCTGTGATGAATGTCGAGACATTGCTCGAACCATTGCCCACCTTTTTCACGACAATAATTCGTCAGACACACATTATTCGTTCGGTTCTCCGTTCCCAACGTTTGAATAGAAGCTGCAGCGGCGGCTCGAATTTGAATCACAGTGACAAAAACATTTGCGATCAATATGGATGCAGCCGGAAAAAGCATGGCGGCCGTTATGCGATTCGCCAAAAAACCGGAAAGCGAAAACAAGTAATGCGCTGGCAACGAAGCTACTCCAAAACAGATATCATCATTGTACAGTTGTAGGTAATCTCTTCTGTTAAGGAAGCACAAGCACAAGCACTACGCGGTGGTTTCGCTCTAGTTGTGTAATCAAGCAAATGAAACGGTAGCTGGATTGGATTGGATAATATTATGCTTTTTCGATCGCCGAAGGGCACTGCCGTAAAATGAATCAGCAAGCGTTTGTTACATGCACAATTTACTGTACAGTAGTTGCTCATATGTGCCTGTGTCTCTGTGTTATGGCTTACCACAACATTAATTAGAAGTGTCTCGCGGGTCAGTTACCGTAACTTTCCAAAAATTCCACATCGGAAGAGATTAGTATACGTATACGTATCAGCATTCTTTGCCTCCTTTCTACCTAACAATTCGGGCTTTAATCAATAAGAGAAATTCGGAAATTAACCACAATTTCGCAACCCTAGCCTGGCAGTGGTGATTTTCATAGGATAATAAAGAGTCGGCATGTCGACGACTGAGCAATAAACGAACGATTGTGTTCATTGAGCAGTGTACCGTCAGCAGTTCTTATTATTGCACGTGATCCCGTAATTTGTAAAGACGCTCATGGGATTAATTATTCGGCTGGTTAGACAGGACTTGTAAGTAATGTGCTCCGCACAAAATTCAGTAGGCAATGGCATGTTGCTTAATAAGCGTTGTAAAAATCAGAATGACAATAATAATTATTACATGTCTCCTTCTCATCAGTACCGGAAGTATTCGCTATATACTGTAGATGCATCGTTTGTTCGGCGCCCGTACCATGCGGCATAAATTCGGCATCCCGTGGAAGGTTGATTGTTGAGGAGATGTCTGAATACTGAAAAATGTATCTAGCTTCCAGGCTCGCGGGCCTTCGCGGTAGACCATGACAAGACTGACTTTCCGTCATAGATTGTACTTACGATTATGTAGTTCTACGAGCTGTGTGGCATACCGAGCCGACAGATTAGATCGACATCAGCAGTGACGCGACCAAGGACAAAAGCTGAAGGCACTTGCAGATTAAAATACAGAATACTGATAATTTGCAGTCATTTTCGATCATTTTCTAGCGTAAAGAATTTAGCTTTTCGGCCAACTACCTGACTGCACAGAAAGGGGTGCCGGTTTTGAAGAAGCAGTACTTCGTATTCGTGACATTTCGTGTACGCCGTCGTGCATATCTGTACAATAAGAAATGATACTGTTTTACTCGTAAAATAATGTACAGTTCATTAAATTTCGGTGCCGTCTTTTGGAAAATAAGCTGGCTGTACCAACAAGTTCTCCCCAGTCACAACCAAACTATGTAATACAGCAGTCGTTCATGAAAATTATATTGTTTTATCAACTCATCATGCTAGAGTAATACTGAGTTTTTCCTACCAACAGGAAGTAAAGGGCTGACCTTTGACGCCACTATATTACGGACCTCACGAAGACGAGTAGCGCGAAGATAAGGGACCCCCTCAGCTGCAAGAGCCGAGGTGGATGGAGACGGAGTCATTCGAGAACTCTGTATTTGGGCATAGACTGTCTAGTGATGAAGATGAAGAGCGGTGCGCTCCTTACTGCAAATGAGATCGCATACAGCGGGAATATGCGTGGGCTCACCGGTAAAATGCTTTTGCATTTAAACGTGTTTACCAGGAAGAGAAAAGTGTACAATATGTCTATCGTACGGTGTTCTTTTACCCTGTCGTAGCACAAGCACTTGATTGACTTTAACGTAGTACTACGAAAACTACTCTAGTTTTACAGAGACTTACTCTTAAAGTCAATGCATTATAAAGTACAAAATGCACAGTGAATTGAAACTTCGAAACAATAATTATAATTACGCATCATGGCTTTTGCGTTACGTTGTGAACTGTGACTGAATTTTGTGTGGTAGAACTTCCTGAATTACGTATTTACTTTAATTCATAATAATAAAAAGAGGTGCCGTTGACGTTAAACGCAGATCGATTGATTTCGCACCAGTTTGCTTCCAAACAACACATACAGTACATAACATGCTCATCCTGCTTAGTAAGCAGGATGAGCATTATGTTATGCTGTAAGCAGTGCTTACGCCATAACATAATGCTTACAGCATAACAGCAAAACATTATGCTTTATCCTTAATTTTTCAATAGAGGAATTACAGAAAAAGCCACATTTCGTAATGAAAATCAAAAAGGAAAGGAACGAGAATATCGAACAATTGGAAGACAAAACCCTGCCACACCGGGCGGTTGTGATTGTTCCAAGCGACAGAAGTTCGTTTTTGTTTTCCAATTCCCACCTTATAAATCACTTACATAGATCAGAAAGTGATTTGCACAGAACTGGCAGGAATATAGACCAACATGAAAGAATTCGCCCGCGTATGTTACGGGCGATGCGTTATATTTAAAGTGACCCTATACCTGCCCTTTCGGCAATGAAAATAAAGCGAGTGTTTATATTTAATACGAAAATGCCGGCGCAGTTCAGAAGCACGACAGTAAATAACAAATACGAGTACAACACCAATACAACACTGTATGCATTCAGCATGCTTTTAACCACGGAGATAAATCCTATTTTTAAGCCTAATGCGGTAGTGGACAAAATACCTTTCTCAAAAAAATAATTATTTTACTGAATTTCTCACCGGAAAATGTGCCCTGACGTTGGAGAAACTAATGTTGATAATTTAGTAGTCAATATATACATCAAATAACGGGAAAACAGATGCAAAAGCTGGTTGTTTGTTGTGATCGTCATTAAGTTCTTGCTGTCTTATATTTTTCAGACTTTACATATAATTAGTAATGTAGTGGTTTATTTAATTATTTATCTTATTTACGGTTTATGTTAATCAGTTTTATTTTGCCATTTTTTATGGACATTGTTCTGGTTTTCTTTTCTTTCCTGGTGGTTCACTTCAACGTGTTGTATGAAGTACCACACGAGACGATGCGGTCGCCGGGATTTCGATGTGGTACGATTCTCACAACTTACAGATAAACCAGAAACAGATCGGTAGCAGTCTCTCTCAAACGTCAACGCATTTATTGTGCAAACTTCAAAAAACCCGAATAAATCATTTAAAACGTTAAAAGATCATAAAAGCGTTAAAATCTCTGGAAAACTATATATCGAGGTACTCGTTAATCCCGTACAAACAACCACAGCTGCGAAAACAATAATCTCGCCGAAGACACGAAGACATCAGAAATCGTTGGAAGAAATCTCGAGGCATCAATTAAAACGGATAAAAACAAAACCCCACCCCCAGCTGAACGACGGAATGGCCCCCATATCAACTCCCCCACTGACAACACACGCATTTCACACGAGCGCATTCCGTGAGTAGCGCGGCGCCGCAAACGCCTCATCCTCCGAATCACTACTCTCCCCCGCGGCCGCCTCATTCTGCCGCAACGGCCGGAAGCCCTCCTTCCGTGCCTTATACCCTCCGAGGTCCATGGGGTTCTTGACACTGTGTCCGTACTGATACAATAACTCCTTCCATTTCGACTGGTTACTGCTGGTCTTCCACTGCTTCACGCAGAAATACACCCCGCCGGAAAGCACGATCAGCGTCGGAACGATGATCAGCATGAGCACGATGAAGGAGAAGCCGGATGCGTCGCCGGGTTTGGTGATGGGCTCCATGTCGTGGCCGTGGCTGTGGTGGCCGTGCTCGGAGGGTTCTTCAACCGGCGCGGCGGGAACGGGCGGGAGGACGGCGGCCGGCAAGTGGAATTTGTGAGCGTGACTGTTCAGCTCCACGACGTAGATGCAGGAACGGTCTTTGGACACCACAACGGCGTGCGGATTAGCTAATGGTGACGCCTAAAGTAAAGGAAAAACAGTCAAAATTAGTTAGCGAAGTTAAACGGTTGAAATTATTTTCAAAGACCTAAATTCAACAGCGCTTTATTAAATAACTGAAGAATTAATGGATAATACAAATACCAATTTTCGTACAGGTTTGCTAATTAATTAGAGGAATTTATTAAGGATTTATTTTTATGATGAACTTGCTTTCTCAACATGTGAAAGATGCGATTGCGTAGTGTAACGGCTAACAGTCCAAGTCCATACGACCTTCTGCTCTATCTACCATTGTACTGTACTCGATTCTTTCTCAGTCAAATAAGCAAAAAGCGCAGTCAGTCTGCATTTTGTGATAAAATCCCAGTTTTTGTCAAAAGAATACGAACACAAAAAATTCTTATTTCGATAAATTTAAATACTTAATGGCGATCAACCGACAGGGAAAGAAATATTTCTCATGCCTTGACTTATACGAGTACAGTAGTTATAGCAAAGTTAAGGGATAAATTTTTAAATTGAATTTAATGCAGAAATTGTTCGATCGTGGAATGTTATTACGGAATAATTATTTTTTTCGTTGATCATTTGATAATAATGATATTTACCTTGGACTTCAGCACACCGACGGTGTTGCCAGTAGAAACGTTGACAAGTATCGTGCTAACCGGCGGCTCTGGACCGAACACGGTCATTCCCACTTGGCCGTTGACAGCGACCATCAAATCACCTAAATTTGATATAACCCAAATTTACCCAATGAACTGATCACAACATTATGCTGAACACGTAACCGATGTGACGTACCGGATAAATCCAACGCAAACAATCGGCTGCCAAACTCCGCCGGTTGATACAACCGCAGGAACTTCTTGGTGGCCACATCGAAGGCCTGCACCCGGCCGTTCTCGCGGTCGGCCACGAAGATGGTCTTCTCGTCGGTGCTGAGTTTAATATCGTGGGGAATGAAGAATTCATGCGGCTGTGGACTGATCGTCCCGAAGGGATTGTACGTGTCCGTGCCGAAATGGCTGACGTAGTTCCCGTTGCTGTTAAAGCGGATCACCCGCGAATTGCAGTATCCATCGGCCACAAAGAAATCCCCGCTCGAAAGGACAGCCACCATGCTGGGCTTGCAGAAGTGCTGGCCGTCGTGGCCGGATTGGAATTGCTTACCTATTAAAACGATAGAAAAGCAATGGTAAAGTATATGATTGGGCACTTTCTTAAAATTTGAGGAATAACAGTTCCGTTACGCAGTTACGAAACACACAAGGAAATCAAAATTAATCCAATACGAAAAAATACGATTTAAAGTTATTTACCAAATCAAAACTTAAAAAACCATCACACTTCTAAAAAGAATTCATGTTCTAGACTGTTTATATAGATACTCGTGACAAATTGATAGCTGGAGAAGGGGTTTTGTAGTACAGTGGCAGCGACAAGATGGTCTCATAATAATTATAATGCAGCGAATGCAGCGCTCGCTCAGATACAAAATTTACAGCTGTAGAAACCGATCGTTCTTGTTTTTCCAAAAAAAAATGAAGCATGTGGTCGCTTAAAGCAGGCAACGGAGATTTCAAGGTAAGTGACAAAAAAATTGAATATCAAATACATAATTAACGCTTAAACCAAATAAAACTAAACACAATCATACAGCACTAACAATAAAAAGCTTAAAATCATATATCTTAACACCCGTCATGAAAAATGGGGTAACAGGTAGTTTCGTAGTTAAACGGCAGCAGCGAGATAAATAAAAAATATCGCAAAACAGCTTGTGGTCAAACAAACACACGATCGAAGAAAAGTACACTTTTTTTTAAAGAAATAACTAAGAAATCGAAAGAAAGCTGTCAATGACGATCTGGCTGTGCGCGACAATAAAAAAATAAAGCTTCAATTAACATGAATAACTTCAGAAATCCCGGTCACAAATTATGGCCCAAGTGGGCTTGTAACGGCAACGTAACAGATTTGCAAAGGTTTTCATAACGTGAAAGCAGCGCGTGATCAGAAAAGTTCCCTTTGCAAGAAAAAGTTGTAGTATTTTTTAAAAATAAAAGAGAAATAAGAAGTCGAATAAAACCAACAACGAAGATTTAAAGGTAAGCCACAACAGAAAACGAAATCTCAAACATTTTAAACAACCGAAAAAGCACTAAATAAACCAACTACAGAAAACGGTTAATTTAGTGACAATAAAAACTTTCCGTCAATCGCAACGAAAAACTAACATTACATATGCCGGTATCTAACCACTGATAGTAAGTAATATTATTAAATGCTAAAATGTTTCCGTTAATTTCAGTAACTCACCTAAGATCATGGTGGCTTGACCATCGGGCGACAATTTGAACACTTGATGCAAAGCAACATCGGTAACCCAGATATTCCTGCCGGCGTCCACTGTAATGCCATGAGGCATATAAAACCTGGATAAAAGAATAAAAAAATTAAAAAAATATAACAACTGCGATTCAGAAATTTTTACTGTATATAAAATGAAAAAGGGACAAATGCCACATGGAATATAAGAAAATCACTCACATCTTCTGTCCAATGTGTTTCTGGAGCTTGCCACTCGCCGCATCCAGAATGGCGATGGTTGGCTGCGCAATCGGTCCAGCGTCTTTGCGCGCGTAATTGTTATTAGCATCGAAGGTGCCGCCATCCCAAACGTGATCATTACGATGGAAAATGTATCTAAAAAACAGAAATAGAATAATTTAAATGACATCTAAAAAATCAGTAACATGCGCAGTTTTAATAATCGTTGATATTCGACAACTTACACATGTTTTTCAGTAGGGCCGAGCGCGACGCCCGAAATTTGTCCGAGATTCATTTTCGACACCGTACTGGACCAGTTTTCGTCCTCTTCGTACGCTAAAAAGTACAAAATTTGAATAAATCAGTGAGACACCATAAGCAACGAATTTTCGCTTACAACTTTGTTAAGTTTCGACAAGCAGTAAAAAGCAATCGGCTAATTATTTTCCATACGAATGCATTATTCTGCGACCGAACATAAAAATATATAAAGCTATCTATTACTTATTGTCGTGCCTCTAATCAAACGTTAAAAGCGCAAAACTACTGTAACCAAGAAAGATGCTCACAAGTCAGTAAAAAAGCCGGGTACAAGAAGTGCGTCCGTAGTGTAACGTCTGCGGCGTATGACGCCTGGTTTTCGTCCTACAGTGCGCATTCGATACTAACAGCTCTGTACGCAGTAATTTTCTAAATTCAAAATAAATTCATTGAAATTCAATTTTTTTCAAAAACAGAAGAATAAACACAACACAACGATAATACAAAAAAATCACCAAAAAGAAAATGATAGAGAGGAACCGAAAAGTATCTTGCAAGCAGCAGTAGTCGCACAGCAATTAAATAACATAAAACCGAAGTTTCACAAATCGATTTTATCGTGTCATGACTGTACGTTAACGAAGCCAATCCTGCCAGTCACAGGAAAAAACAATACTAATTTGTAAAATCCTGGATTTTACAGACAGAACGCTGACACTATAGGAAGATTTAAAAAAAAAATTTCTATAGGAACTTACCATAGAGCGAAATATTATAAAACTATGAAATTGTCCGGTGTTAACCGGACACTTTTTCAAAAGCTGCAGCGAATGCTGTTGCATACGCAATGAGCAAAAACAATTTTCAAAAAAGTTTGGTAATTAAGGATTACTTTTTAAACTGAACATAAAATAAAACAAAATAACATTAAACAAAATATGATTACATCATAAAAATCCGCATTTATACAGATATAACAGAACAAATTCCATTGGGAAAGCCACAAATACCTGGTGTGGGCAGGACCGCTCCGCCATGTTCACCATGCTCCATATCTCCGTGATCATGCCCGGACATTTCATGATCATGACCCCCCACCACGCTCTCCTCCGTGGCCATCTCCGGCGGGACCTCATTAGTCTCGCCCAATTCCCCTTCGCGTCCATGTCCGGGTGGCGGCACCGTGGGCATCTCATGGCCGTGGTGCTCCTCGCCGGCCGGAGGCGGTACGGTGACTTCCGCACCCGGGGCGGCAGGCGTCGCCGGGATCACCGGGGTCACCGCCGGTTTACCATGCTGACCGTGGTGGTGTTTGATTTCGCTGGCCGGTAGCGGGATGCTGGCTTCCTTCGGAAGCTGGTACATACCCACATCCTGACCCACATCACCACAGCTGTCTGTAAATAATTTGACAAAGGTGAGTTTTTAGCCGCGCACAGCGAAGTAACGGCATGGGCTGTACCGTGCACAATACTCCGGTCGGCGTAGTACATCATGTAAAAATTACACATTTCGTCGTTGTGTGTTGGACCCATGAATGTGATGGCGGAGCGTTCGGTGGAGTTGTACACACAGCGGGCGCCCTAAATAACAAAGCCATTAATCGTCAGAAATAAAGGAACAACTTACCATAAAATTGCAACCAATTTTTTAAAATCATATCAGACATTAAGTTTTTATTTCGATGATTACCTATAATATAAATACCTATTAAACGAAAACGCAGGCAGAACAGCGAGCAATAAATTTTTACTATAAATACGGATCCTATTTGTATAGTGATTTATTACCCGCGGAAAGTTGGAAACAACACCGAAAACTAAGTAAACTAAAGAGCAATTTCTGGAAATTAAATGAAAATAACAGCCAATAAAAATTCACTACAGCAACACCATGAGAACAGTTTCGAGGAAAACGAAGTATTTATGACAAAATAATATAACGGGCTAATTTCACAAAAACAAAATTCCGAAATAAAACGAAAGGAACCAGTAAGGGAAAAGGCAGGAGCCGCAGTGTACGACTTTTTAAAAATAATTAGGTTGACGCCCAACGCGATTTAATTTCATGATCTTACGCAATGAATTCATCACAAATAATATAGGATACACTTAACACTAACCAGTAGGGTCCCCTTGGTGATATTGTGGGCGGCCGGCATGGGATAGAAAGCCTGGGGATTCTGCGGGCTCTGTTTACCCAGCATGGTCCATTCTAATTTGGCCTCGTCCTCCTGCTTCATGTACCAGCCCTGTCAAGCCGACAAAACACCGCTTTTGAACGATATCAACACATCACAGCGTGCGGTACGTCCATTTCCGCAGGAGAGCATTGTTAATGCTGAAATGCTTACGGAAATCACCACTCCCAGTCCGTGGGCGTGTGTGCGGAAACCGAATGGATGGATCACCGTGTCATCATTGTACCGGCATAATACGTTGACATTCACCACTGGAAGCAAATTAGTTAACCGTTGTGGCTTGCGGTGGGCATTTCTCTTACACAACAAACGTTATGGAATCGACTATCACTCTAATCCAATTTATTTGTAATTTGTTTATTTTCGTACTTTTATTTAACATCCATAAAATTTGGATACGGTATTCAGATTTAACGAAAGATTCACAGTTGCGAAAACAAAAAACAGTAAATATAAACTTTTTGAAAAATACATATGCCCTGCTGAAATATTTCCACATCTGTAAATGTTTTAAAATACTATGGAATGCATTTTAGTTAATCACGAGTAATTCGCAAAAAAGTCCTTGAAAAATTTTCAATTTATCATGTTTTTCCTCTCTTGGCTCTTGGTAGGTAAAAACCGCTCAAGAATTTCCATACTCAGGCGTTAATAATCGAAACCCAACAAAATCACATACGTTAAAGTGAAAAAAATTAACGGTTACGCCACTGATTATGCGGCAGTGTTCATAATTAATTTTGTGCCTACCTGGTTCGCGCGGCGGAATAAATTGGCCGCCCGCCGCCAAGAGAAAGATGCCGGCAGCGTATTTACGCGGCTCGCTGGTGTAAACCAACGAGAAGCCCGAATCATCGTTGGTAACGAGGGCGCTGTAATGGATTTGAATAAATATGCCCTTCACGTCAGTTTTGCGGCCCAGCTGAAATCCCACATCTGCAAAACAATTCGAAGATAATTTCACAATTTCTTAAAATACAGATTTCTTATTTTAATTTTATGAAACAATAATTAAATATTGAGACAGAGTAATGCATGCACCAGTAAGATCGATAAAACAATCAAAATTAAAGCAAAAACTAAACTTGCAGCTTATGGAATTTCTATAGAATTAAATCAGATTTTTGGTTTTCGACTAGAGAGCTGTTGTTTGTTCCCAGTGAACCACGAAAGTGAGTTCAAAGCTCGCGCTCATCGTGTAATAAGACTCGTCTCGATACAACAAATATTTGCGTACTGATCTGCTGTACAGAATGCCAATAAACATAAAGGTTGTTGACCAAAGCACTTCAAATTAAAAACGCAAATCAAAACGAAAACTATCGCTATGCTAATAAACCTCCCCATGACAAATTCATCAACCACATCCTGATTTCCAAATTCCAAGTTTTTTCAGTTCATTTTAATTTTTCGATATCGGTAATATATACTAGGAATAATAAATTCACTGCGGAGGAAATAAGACAATCCGTAAAAAAACGACAAAAGCAAAACATTTCGAAAAAACAGTTACCGGATCTGCAGTCAGGAAAGCATTGTCAGCATTTAATTTCGCTCAGCAATTGATAAACACCAAGACAAAACTCACCAAATTTCAGATCAAAGGTTCACGACAGTCAAACTAAATTTATTCAAACCAAATTAATCCTGTCAGCATTTCGTTGCTGCTTTTTTAGCATTTATTTAATCATCAAAATGTATTTTTTATTACTTATAGATGAACTAGTTAACAGTGCGAAATGCACTAAATTTATGAACACATTATCGAGTAGAGTTTATGTCCAGATTTCCGGCTATACTTTACCTTTGGGCAGCTGGAATGTCGGCGCGTCCTTCGCCCAGGCGAAGAGGAACTTGGACCGTCCGGTGCAGGCGCCCTGAATGGGATGGTCGTCCAGACAGGACCAGGCGCCGGTGTCCGATGTGGACTTGATGGGCTCCGAACAGCCGTAAATGAGGATATGGTGCACCGATTTGGCTGACGCATGCGGCACATATTTCACTACAACCAGCAGAAAATTTATGGTCAAGTGTGTGATGATTACGTCGTCTACCACGTTTGCTATCAACCAAGAACTACTACGAGTATCTGCACAACTATCTGGTTATTCGCGAAGAATCGCTTGCATAATCACTTGGCTCGTGATGGAAAATTCACAAATTCAGCAGAAGTCTTTCAAAAAGGCAGTGGACTACATTTCTGACAGAAAAACAGACATACGACGGAAAATCTGCATATCTGTAAGTATTATCATAATTTAGTAGTTTTGCGGTTTATGGCTTAAGGGATGCACTGAGCGCCTATTTTAGCCACAAGACTACGTTTAACCGCATCCTAACCTCAACGAAAAACTGTGCCACGGCTTTATTGTACACAGCTATTCTTTTCCTCATTAATAAAGCTTCCAAATCATTCTGAGGACACTTTTCCAGTTTACAAACGAACAAAAAAAAATTAAAAGGAGTAAAACCACTCATTTAGAAATGGTCCTGAATTAAGTAAGTACACTGGTACTGGACAGATGTTTAGGACGTGCGCCACGCCAGTGCCACGTAAATAATGATTAGAGAAATTGCTATATTAATCGAAAAATATGCAGCAGCGCCATGAATTTCAATCTTTTAAAAACCGATCACAGTTTAGCGGTACAAAAAAACAATCAGAATGAACAGTTATAGACTCTGCGACAGTTTAAGCAATTTACCAAAAAAATAAGCAGTATCCGTAAATAATAATTGCATACAAGGGGCATGTCACTTCAGAGAAAACCATATCTTCAATAATTATTGTCATTAATTACCCGAAATTCGAAAGGATTTACGAAATATGTCTGCACACCATGTACATTCTAATTTATGCAAAAAAATCTATAAAACCTTAATCTTGCATTCACATAAAATCCTTCTGAAAGACAACAGAATCCATAATGATAAAATTCCACTAAAAACAGCCGGAGTTTAACGTCTGATCGGAGCCCGTGACGTCACTTCCCGTCCGACACTCATGTCAGACGAGCGTGATGCATTGCGTTACACGAGTCCTTATCGCGCGCAAGTGTTTCCTGATTGCATGGGTAATTTGGATAATTTTACTGTGACAGCGTCGCAAAATGCTGTAGCCAACCGACCACATCCGGGTCGAACAAACAAACCAAACTTGTCAAAGCCACATTTTCCTGCCTTACTGAATGCGCCCAGAGAAATATTTAACGTTTACATTAACAATAATTAGTTTTTGAAAAATAAGGTGACTAAAAATAAACGTACATACGATTTTAACCGCATACTTAATAAAACTGTAACATTTTTTATCGGCTTTCTCAATTTTAACCAGACATTTAAAAATATTTTAAAAACATAAAAATTCGTTCTCGACCTCGCTTACTCTAGTACTAACAAGTTGTACCGTATATGGGTATATCTACATAATATTGTTATGTATTATTGTATATCACGAAAATTGTGCCATATTTACCAGTTAAAATGAAATTAATATTAAATTATTATTCAATCAAAATAATTTAGATGGTAGGGAAAGCTTTATAAAACTAACCACTATTCTTAATTCAACAAAACCTCATTCAACAAAACTGAATTTTGTATATTTTGAAATAATAATCTTAAACTGAAAAGTGAAAGCTCTGTCCATAGAAGTAGTCAATTTATTCGCAGCTCCCAATTTATTTATTCACAATTTTTATTTCCAAATTATGCCGAAAATTATCAAATAAAATTTGAAAAAATGTAAAAAAAACCTAAAAAAGACCTAAAAACATTTAAAAATCAGTTGAGCAACTAGTGGCTCACCAATATATCGGATATCAAAGTCCACATTTTTCCCCATACAAAAATACTGATCCTCTTTCGTGGTGTTAATTTTAGGCATCCATAACGCGATAACTTCCTCTTCGTCGGTTAATTCCAGTTCATGATTTAACGGCGCTGCGTCAGACGGTGGTTTCTGGCCGAAAGCAACATTGAGGGATAACGAAATGAATAACAGGAGTACAGCAGAAACTAGCATGGTGAAACACTATGTTCCGCAACAACATAAAGACCGTCGCTTCCTAACTATCCGCGGCCCATGTAAATGAGTCTCTTGTTGAGCAGAATCAATGGAGTATAACAAAAAATCCAAATGAGGTTAAACGCCGTGAATACGCTCTCAAAAACCAACTGACCCAGATTGAGTAAAATAAGAAGATAAAATTTAAAAGAATAAAACAAGAAAACGATATTTACAAAGATGCAGCAGCTGCCAGCAAGTGCTCAGAATAGTACAAAATCAAATTATGGAAATAACGGGGACCCTGCAACAAGTGCTGGCGAACTTAGCAACAGCTGCTGACAATCACAACTCCAGGTAAACGATATAATAATTTTTCCCCAAAAAAAACCTACGAAAACGGTTCACAACGTGTAATAACGTCGCAGCACTTGACTGGCACTGCAGCTTTTCAGTTGACTGAGTGCGTCGTGCATGACAAGAACATGAAATGCTCACTGCAAACAGCTGGATCGACAAGCGGAAGTGGGGAATTGGAATTCCATTTCATAACGGTAGCGAATGGAAACGAGAATACCTTTAGTACTAGTAAATAGTAATTACAGTAGTAGTTGCAACTTGCAAGAGAAGGCTTCAAGGCACAATTTTTACTACGCAAAAGCAGGGAGCGCACGGAAAACCCAGCTCACGGGTAAAAAGAAAGGAATCGACCTTGCGCCATGATTACTTATTTTCTTAATTTTCTCTGCAATTTGAGTGCGAAAAAGCGGACATCAAAATTTAGCTTCCGCCTTCCCCCAAAACCCAAATACAGTTGGAATTCGACGAGGCCTACCAAATGGAAGTGGTATTCCGCGGCCAACCCCTTCGGAGTGGCAGGTAAAATGGAACCTGGAAAGTGGAAGTTGAATGTGAAGCGGAAAGCATCCGTTTTCGTGATTTTGTGACTATTTTGCAAGTTTTGCTCTTTAGTCTTTTGGTAAGACCGTAAGACGGTAAGAATTGAAAATTTGGAATTTTTGGAGCAGATTGTAATGCGCATGTGCTTTTGTGGTTTATAAATTTGTTAGTACTTAGATATTTCCGATTGAGTCTTGTTACTCTTGTATCCCTTTCTGATTCTTCATGCTGACGCGGTCCACTGTTGCATTTCCTGGATTTCCACAGTCTTCGTGAAAATCATGCAGGTAGGACCTCGTTCATTATCCATTCGGGAATCCTGGTATTCAGTTCTTCATTTAAACACTTATCAATTATCAGCGCGCAGTGTCTTCGGTGGTGCGCAACTGTGTTCGCCATCTGACATCATCCACTGTGTTGACGGGATCTCGTCCCACGCCGAAATCCCTCTCCGGTTTCGGGAAGAAAAAATCCAACCGCAAATCTTACGACGATGAGGTACCGACTCTCTTCGTGGCTGCAGATTTAGTGTCTCTCTCGACGAATCCATGATGCACCGCTATTAATGGTTGTAGGAGGCGCAGGACGAACTCTTCCATCCTCCGAAGCCCAAAACCGTCCCACCGAGTGATCTGCCTCCCAGTATGCGGAAGAAATACCGCATCTTCACGGATCAGTCCGAGGAGATCATCGATTCCAACCAAGCCCTGTGGGTGGAGATTGAGGCTCCAGAAGAGCCGGAGGTTGACCAGTTTGTGGGTCTCAATATGGAACGTAAGAGATTTGCCGATTTGCCGAATTTATCGTAAGAGATTTGCCGATTTGTAATATTACGAGGTACATAAATATTTCAATATTATTTTTAATATTATTTTCTGTAACAGTACAACTTCCACAAACGTTTTGTTATTTTTGTTTAAATTATTTTCATTCGTATTAAGTCCTTTCCTAAGGTTTTCGTGTACGCACATGTGCTGTATTTATTTTGTTTAATATGTATGGTGTAACCGATTTGTAATATTGATATTTTTATTGTCCTTTTGTTATGACTTTTGCAAATTTGGTATTATTTTTCTTGAAATTGTTTTCCGAAGTTTTCGGATGTGTATTTTATGTTTTTGTCATTAATTTGTTATGTTAGGTGGTGTTACCGGTGTCCTTGATATCGAAGATCTTATCCACGTGCTCAGACTGGAAAATGCCCAGAATATCTGTACGATAAAAATTCCTCCGGAAATCATGTATGCGGACTATCTTGTCGTGTGCACGGGAACTTCCAAGCGTCAGTTGCTTGCGATGGCGGAATTCGTGAGGAAATATGTAAGCGAATGGCGGTTGCTTCCTTTAAAACATTTCCGTTGTTATTATCACTGCAATAATTATTAAATTGTTAAACTGTTCTTTACTGCTCGTGTTGTATATTTTGTTTTAGCTGCTGTATTCGTAGACTTTAATTATTACTCGTATGAAAGGGTGTTTTTCTCTTGCGATTAGTACAAGGCAAAAAAACTGCCGGAGGATCCCTTTTTAGAAAACTCCTTGGGCATCAAAGACTGGAACACCAGTTGGATCGCTCTCGATCTGGGTATGATGATTTTGTGCTAAGTTCAATTTCGGATGCCACCTGGGCTTTTAAAATATTTTTTCCCTACTGTTTTCTTATTGTAGTTAATTTTTACGAAAATTTTGTAGTATTTTTTGAATTTATTATTGGTATCGGCGAGTTCTGCTTACTTTTATTTAGTAACTCAAAATTGGTTTCGTACATGCACGGTGCACCACTGGACAGTACCCCATCTAATAATTTTTATTTCTGTATCGGCTGTTACATTCGTTTCGATTTATGGTTTCTTTTTGCACAGTTTATTGAATTTTTGTATACTTTATTGTTTTTTGTTGCATCAGTGTTGTTACCCGCATTCTCGATGTCTTTTATTTGTGTTATTATTGAGTATTGTTGGAAATTTTGCAGGCAATATCGTTGTTCATTTCATGGATGCCAAAACGCGAGAGTTTTACGACCTGGAAGCATTATGGGCCTTAGGCCCTGAGCACGACCCCAAATGCGCTGGGGACGCCGATCCGATGCTGGAACTTCTCCGGCAGAGCTCATCCGAAGCCGGCGATTTATTTGGCACGCAGAGGAAGACCAGAGATGGTGCTAAGACTACGTGAGCGGGTTGTGGCTTTCTGTGAAAGGGACAGTTGATGAAAAAAGGTGAACGAAAGTACAATGTATGATTGTGCGTTTGCATGTGGATGGCGAATACAGATAGTTTGTTACTTAGCTCGGCATTATCTTTGCGGTTGACGTTTAATGATATACATAGGTGCGCTTTGTATAACTATGGTCGCCTTTTTGCTTTCGACTTGTTCGCAAAAGGGCAAAAGCAATCGAATAAAGAATGCGATAGAATAATTGGTTAATGTTAAATGAAATGGTTCAGTTGTTTTCTCGCAATCACAATGCGTTCAACGGCAGACGAAACGATCCATCGGCAGATATTGGTAGACACGATCCGCCGATGTGGCATCAGTATCGGGAATCTACGTAGTATCAGTATCGGGAATCTCTCAGTATCGGGAATCTACGTAGTGTACTGGCCCGAAGTCGAAATTTCATTCAGTCACTGTTTCTAAAATCTAATTAGTCGGGCATTAGCATTAATGCAGCCAAATGGGAAAGCAACAGTTAGAAGGGAAATTATTTTTAGAAAAGAAACTTAGTTATTTAACAAAATTAATAAATACATTTGATTATATCTGGTTTTTTTACGACTGAGTAGCAATTGTAAAATAATAATAATTATTATAATCGAAATTAACTGCATTTAAAAAGTAATGTTACTTGGTATTTATGCCAACGAGTAGAGTACGTTCTAGTACATAATTGTATATAATATTTAATAATAATAGTGTGCAACCGTTTCAGGCATAGGTACCATTAATAATTTTACTATTTTTAACCCAAGAAGAAAATGAAATTTACACCTAGCATTTAGCGCTGAACGTATTTAGCGCTGAACGTATTTAGCGCTGAACGTATTCCAACATAATTTTGTTAATATTTACTTCTTCATTAATCCAGCCACTCGGACCATTCAATCACAGTTTAATAATTTTAATCAAAAACATTTTTGTAAAAAAGGAAACATTAAAATTCGCAATCCCGAACAATGCCGGTGACTTGCAGGTCAAACACCCCACACGTCAGTTCTTCCAGGAAGCATTTCTTATAAAACGAGCAAATCTGCGTCTTCTTCTCCACATACTGCTCCACCAGCGTCATCTTCTTGGCCTTATTGGCCTTCCGCAGCACCTCCAGGACACTCTGGGTGTACTTGGTGGCCCGTGGTACCCCATCAAACCCGTACCACACATTCTCCTCACTCAATCCATCCACAAACTTCTTCATCCGGTCATTCTCATCCCACAGTTTCGCCGCTCCATGGACCACCACCAAACCGAGCTGATCGTGCTCCCGCACGGCATCCGCCACAGAGCGCGCAAGCTGGACCATGTCCGCAGCGGCCGTCGGTCTTTCGGGGAACTGCTCATAATTCCCGAGATAATCTAGGAACACCCCGGAGTAATTGTACGGGATGACGTTGTTCATCATGTAGTCGATGAGCATATCGCGCCACACGGGGTTCCAGTAGCGTACCACTTTCCCGTCGGGGTAGGTGGGGTCATCGCGGATGTAGATTTCTTCCACTTGCTCGTTGTCGATCTCTTCATCAGACCAGTAGGCGCGGAATTCTTCGGCTTGCCCCACCGAAACATAGGCTAAGACGAGCTTTCCCTGGTATTTTAGTTCCTCGTTCTGTTCAGCGGTCAGTCGGACATCATCGGGATCGACGATGAGGATGTTGTGCGGGTTGTTCAGTAAAGTGTCGTAGGTGCAATTCGACATCTGTACAAAAAATTGCGAGGCGAATTTCACCTTGGCACGGGCGCTAACAGCCGCTATTACCGCTAAGAACACGATGAATTTCATTTTTAAAAAACCGAATTAAAAAATTGTAATTAGAAAGAGAGGAAGAAGAAATGCTTGATGACAAAATACACGGTGTATGAGTATTTTTATATGTCCGATGTGTGCCGGAGGAAATTTACGTTGCAGTGTGTAATAAAATGCCGGCTGATGCGTTATTCAATACTGACAAATGCCGGTATAATCATTCAGCCACGGCATTGTATGACGAGACGGTTTAGCCGTAACCAATCGCTGTGTTGGATAATTTTTTTGTAAATCTGCAAATAATTAGATGCATAACGGTTTACTATACCGGTAGATAGAGTGGATGGGCAATATATGCTAGCGGGAGATTTCATAAGAATCATGTAGCGTAGTGAGAAGAGCCAATAATTTTATGTAATTTGTTATTGCACACCACTGATTGATGCCGCGCAGATGAGCAGAATATTGTAACGTAACAATGACACCGTACAAAAACATATTTTTATGGATTTTAAATTATTGATCGGTTAGAGCGGCAATAAATCTCCAATCAAACGCACCCGTGCAAGATTCCAAAGGAGATTAAATTATGTTATCATTAGATATCAATCTATTAGATATCATTAGATACATATATATATATATATATATATATACTGTATCCTAACCCTGCACTTGAAGGAAATTTGTACAGTGCAGCCACACGCACTTGTACGACCGCATTCACCATTCACATACATCGCTTGCAGCTAGTGCATGTTAGAACGTGAATTGGCTGAACGTTTATCCGGCTATACAGCACCGTGCCCTCATAGCGTACAGATTTCCTTCAAGTGCAGGGTTAGTGTACAGTATATATATTAGTTATCATTAGATATCAATCATTAGATATTGTTACTCTTTCTAGAATTCTGATAAAATGAAAGAGAGACGCTGCCATGCGTAATTAAACTCTGCTAAAATCTGTTGGCTATTAATCAAAATTTGCAAGCAAAAACTTAAGCCAGCAGCGATTTGAATTTATGCGAATAATACCTGTACAATTAACATCAAATCTGCGAAAACCTTTATGTATATTTATTTATGTATATCGAAAATATTAATGGCAATAAATGGCCCATAATTAGAAATCAAACGCGGTTTGCACTGCTTCAAATTAAAAAATTTAAATAAACAGATAAAATAATTAACTATGCAGTAATTTACGAAAATTCGTTCGATAAACAGTTTAACGTTTCCCGCTAAGGTTTTTTGTTGGAAAGAGGCGCGCATGCGCTTCGATTATTTTGTTAAATAGAGCGCAAATAAAGCTTGAAATAACAAGGCAATTAATTTTTCTGATCCGGCATCGTCCGTGACCACTGGGCAGTGCGCAGGCCGGATGCAGCCGGCTGTGTGTGCTGGTGCAACTGTCGCTGCAGCCGTCGCCGTTGAGTAATTAGGGCTATTAGTGAGGCGGCGCCGTGCAGCAGCCACTGCCTGCTGGTCCAGCGTGGCCCGTCGCCTGCATCAGCCGTGCATCAGAGTCCACTTGTACTCTGCACTCTTGTCTGCAGAGCGGCACAGCGACGCGCCTGGCCTATCCCGATGGAGACGTTGTTCGTTATCTTTGGATGCAAAAAGCGAAGTGAATTATCCTTATTATCTTGCCCGTCATTAGGTACTTATCATTATCTTCCACTTTTGCGCTTTCTTCGAATTATCTTGCAGCTTCTCTGTTGACTGCGCAACAGTCCACTTCAAGAAGAAAGTTAATCTGCGATTCATTTACACAGCACTGAACAAATTCCACCCAAAGTTCCATGTACAAATATTATTCTTCGTTCAGCTCATAAAATTTAATGGCTTTGATTAAATACCTGGTCTTGCGAAGATAATGTCGTCCCAAGATTTTTATTACGAACTGCGCAGGAAATTTTTTATTCGGGAAAATCGCTACAGCTTGCATATTTTAGTTAGTTAGTTAGCTTGATGTGTTTTGGATACATGCAGGGTATAGTTTCGCTTTATAACAAAGCGAAATGAGCAGAAGCGCAGAATCGAGTTTAAAGTTACCGCCGGCACGCCATGGAACACTTTTCGAACAAAGACATTGTGTAAATTATTCCACAGCCACCCATTCGATCAGCGCCCCACAACGACCTGCTCATTCCCGGCAAAAAGGTCAGCCTGCTCCCGCCGCACGCACTGTCCGTCAACAAGCGTGGCCTGAGCTTATCGCTACGCCGCGATCGGCACAACGCGCCATTCTCCCAGGCCGTTTGTGTGTGTATCCTATCCATTTTTAATGCAGTTGGACTTCATTAAGAGTCCATTAAGTCCGCACGGCAATTGGCGTGCAGGCGCAGTTGATAGGAATCCGCCGAGACAAGATAGCACTTGAGAAAGCGCATCCAGCGAATGTAGCCAGCATTAAAACAGACCGCACTGGCATCTGCTGTAATTATGCGACCGTCTGTGTAGCGAGCCTTGGCGCCAGCGGGTAATTTTGCATGCAAACCGGCGTTTGGTCAAAAAGGCAGCTTCTGAAATGTTGTGTGTGTCTGCGCTGGCCAGGACGCGCCGGTCAGCAGTGTACTTAAGCCGTAAATTATGCACTAACTGGCGCTGCTGGTCTGACTCTCTCTGGCCTCTCTTATCTGCGTCTCTCTTTTCTCTCTTTCTCACTGCCCGCTGGCCAGCGCCGCGCAGAATAGAGCGCCTTTGCGTTGGCCTACGCTATCGTTGCCATCGTTACTACTGGATCGGAACGGACCACAGAGACTGGCCAGCGGAGGCGGGGCGATTGGACTGTGCCCAGGTAACTGTGTTATGCGGTGTTCTCGGGACAGAGCGGCCGAATATTCCTCGCTGTCTTCTCTCTGTAAAGAGAGAAGGGCTGTTCTGTTCTTGCTCTGCAGTCCATATCGCTGGCTCATTATCCACTTGATGGATTAGGGGATCTTTTGCCGTGTAGCCTCAACAAGACGTTCACTTTGGACATTTCAGTTCATGCTGAGTTGACGTCCGAGTTGGTGCTTCTGTGTTAAGAAAATATTTCCGTCAGTTTGCAAGGATAGTATTTGGTGAGATTTCTCCTGAATTTCGTAACGATTCGGCGTGCATATTTATGTTCACTGTGGATGCTGTACCATCTGGATTATGACCACTGGCCTTTGCAAGATGTCGCGACTATACTCTCTCATAATTTATGGTAAGAAAGCCGTTAACTTGCGTACAACAATACTGTAAATATAGCCACATTTTCTATAAGATAATCTGGAAGATTTCTAATCGGTTACGTTAATAAGGTGCCGGTGGTATAGTGCATCGTTTCGCAATCTTGATCAGTAACATTTTAATTTTACCGGCTCTGACGGATTTTCCTAAATGTGGGTTTTATAGTGTATACAGCACAAGTACAGTTTCTACAGATAATCAGTTGTCAAAAGCAGAAGGGAAGCGTACGCTCGAAGAAGTACACTGATAATGATGGCCAGTTTCACTGCATAATTAATTTTGTTAGATTAGCACTTATTGCAATTTACTGGTTCAGCTCACGATTAAATTTATCGTAATGTATCGTGCAATATTATTTTCACAATTAGCTAAAATGTAGGGAACGTCGGCGTTTATTGCAGATAAAGCTATTTTTTAAATTCAAATGATTTTCCTCTGGGAAGTAGCAAACCTCGATTTATTGCTGTTGATAGAAATTAAGCACTCATTAACCTGTTAAATTTCCGGATTATGCGTTGGTTTTTAGAAACCACAATAATCGCACAATGGTTTTTGTTCGCTTTGGTATAGTCCGGGTATTGTGTGACAGCTAACTATAATGATCTGCACTGATGAATGGGGGCACACATACAATGCGGATAGAGTGCACGTTAAGGCCAGTGCGCGACGGCCGGCTGACTGCAGCGAGGCTGAGCCAGTGTCCATTATTCCGCTGAACAAACAAGTGTCTTCTGCTACAATTGACAGGCCGGGGATCTAATTCAGCCGGCTGACAATAGGGTGCCCAGCTCCAAGTCAGGGCATTCCGTGTATGCATTGGCAGTGCCTGTTTGAAAAGAAGATTTACCTGTCCATCAGGCCGGTGCTTAAGTACGCCCGCAACCGGCATATTATGCGGCCTACGCACAGTTTTACATTTTGCTTGGCTGACCATCATCCATGCAGTCATCCGCTGTGTCGATCCGAATTATCATATTTTAGCTTGATCAAGTAGCGGAAAAGTCAGAAACAGAAGCCTGCTTTGTTACGCTCCGCTTAGCCCGATCGAAGAACAGACAGATTGCCGTTTTAGAAGAAAATACAGGACTATTTTTCAGAGCACCGAGAAGCAATCAGAAGACAAATTAATATGTTAATTTGGCTTAATTATGCGTACCGTAAATATAAAATTAATACACATATTTTTTATTTGTTTGTCTTTATCTATAGTCATATCTTGTAAGATAAAATCAATTAAGCAGATGACCATAACGGAAAACAAGCGGAAATAGTAGACCGAAATTAGCCGTGAAACGCAGTTATACTTTAACATGTTTTACTACATAATTCAGCAAGAAAATGCAAAAATATTAATAATTCGAAGTTATTGTTATGCTATAGATATAGGCATTAATTTTGCGAGTGCATATTATACGAATCCATAATACGAATAATAGTGCGCAAAGTACTGAATTATTTTTTGTAAGATTATGGAATCCATTAATTTCTCGCAAAAAGCGATATTTTTACGAATGCTTCTGTAACTAAAATCAAATGTATCTGCAAGTAATCTTACAAATGTACTCGTACGTTTTGATATTTAGTTGCAGTATTCAGTTATCTTTTTCAGGTTTGGTTTGGGATCTCATGTTGGTGTACGGACTGGTCAAAGCTGCCGGCGGTGAAAATGGCAGCGGAAGTGGATTTGTTATTTGTGCCTGCAATACGGAGGAGTGCATCAGTCAAGGGACGCAGCGTTGTGTTGCCAGCAATATGTGCTTCGCTCAGGACAATCAGATCCGCAGTGCCGGGGCGGATAGCAGCGCCGATGCCCCACCGGAAACGCGGATTGTGCGTGGTTGCATTAACAGGTACGCGTAACAGCGATAAAGTTTACTGGTAAAATTCACATTCATTGTCTGCTTTACTCCCGGCTTTCATTTTGCCAAACGCTAAAACCATATAAATAAAACAATTTGTTATTAAAATACGGATAAATCATTAAAATTATACAGATAAGTAAAGAATTATTTAGAATACTGGCTCATATCGCTATCGCACATAGTTAGAATAACATTGCCGAAGATTACTAAAATCTGTCATTTTTCTATACAGATCGACGCCATTGTTATGCGAAAACCGTCCGCCAGCCACCAGCGCCTTTGCCCGCCGCATGATGGCCAACTGGCCGTTGCTGCACTGTTGCACTACCGATCTGTGCAACCAGGAGGTCATCCCTACCCTTCCGCCTTGGTTTCCCTCCGATCTCTCGGCCGAGCAGCCCCTCGAACAACCAGAACCCGAACCGGCCATTGTCGACGAAGCTGATGAACACGAACCCATCGAACCGGCCGAGACCACCCAGCCGATCAAAACCCGTCCGCGTTTCCGCTTCCGCCGTCCCCCGCCGGACACCGAGCCAACCTCCACCACCGTCCGTCCTGCCACCATCGATTACGGCCAACTCGCTCGTCCCCACCTCGACGACACCAGCGCCCAGGACCTGGCTTCCTGGAGCGAAATGGACATCGCCGAGGGTGACCTCCACACTCCGCCTGAGATCGTCACCTTCAACTCCACAAACCAACCGGATGCCCGCAGCGTCCTGGTGATCAGCAGCACCCTGGACAGCCCCGAAGACTTATCCAGCACCCACGCCAACCTCCTGTACATTGTCGTCCCGGGTGTCGGACTGGTGGCGCTGTTTGTCGCGTTGTGTTTATTGGTCGTCGCGGTACGGCGGGCCGGTGTGATCTACGGCTCCATCCCGGCCACCCGCCCGGATCTGCTGAAGCAGAAAGCGGCCGTGCAACCTACACTTCAGATTGTCACGGAATCGCTGGGAGGAAGTGGACGGTTGTCGTCATGGTCGACGCCGTCCGTCGGGTCGTCGCGTTTATCGGCGTATGATGTGGCGTTGCAACGGGAGCGGATGGTGGATCAGGAGAATCCGTACTCGGTGTGGACGGTCATGCAGGCCGGGCCGGACGCCATCCCGGAGTGTGGTGCACAGGATCCCTATCATTATAACCGGATGGCGTTGTACGGCTACCGGAATGCCGGTGCGACGTCATAGACGTGACTTATTTGACATTGTTGTTTTTCCTATTATTATGTATTCATACAGAGATTAATGGATATAACGTAGTTATCTCGATGTTAATTTATTTTGATATTGTAACGGGGATTTATGTGTCTCTCTTGGTGCGCGCGCTATGCTTCCGTGTCGAACCATTGCAGGCCGGGAAACTTTCCTGGCACTTGTAAATAAAGTGAAGAATTTCCAAGCGGGATTTTGATTGCAACTAAATGACCTTCGCCAGCCAAACTCGCGTTAAGTTTTGTGAGCCATTTCGTTGAAGTACACCACGTTCGTGAAATGAAACACAACGTGAGGAATATCGTTGCAACCAGTCTTCTTAGTACTTACTTAATTCATTACTTAATTCGTTTCTGGCATTACTGACCATACAGGTTCTTAAATTTCTTTTTAAAAAGGAAAAAAGGTATATAAGCGAAAACGGTAGGGTTAACAGGGAGGTGAACAAAGAGAAAAAGACAGAATGATTCTGCAGGTGTGATTGTGACTTCCGCCAGTCCAAACAAACGACGAAGTACTAAAATTCTCGAAGCTCGAAGTCACAACGAAACGCCTTAAGGGAAGCGGCCCGGTACATGGTACCAGATTCGTGTGCATGCACTTTCAAGCACTCCCAAACACTTCTTTCATCTTTGCTTTGTTTTATGACATTGAAAATGCCAGTAGCAAAAATACGGGCGCAGTACAGTGGTTGCAGCTGGCAGTTCTTCGGCAAAAGGCAATTCAGTCCTTATATCATGAATTATCCCCGTATATATCGTGAATTATCCCGCCCCCCCCCCCCTACTGTCCTGTCATCCTTCATCCGTTTTGGTACTTAGTTCGTGCTTGTACTGCGATACCCGTAAGTTGGTAATTAAATATTGGGATTGTATAGGGAAAGAGAAAGCATGGAAAGCAGCTGTGTTTGTATAGGGAAACAAGGGTAACGCTTAAAGAAACATTTGGACTGATAAAGTCTTGTGGCGTTGGGATATGTGCGAGATATATGTAGTTAGGAACCCCGAACCCGGAACGTCTCCGTCAGGCTCGATGCCCGACGTGCTAATGGCGGAATTCGATAAGTACTCAGGGTCAGATCCTACTTCCCCAATAACTCTGTTCCGATATCTCCAGTCACAACAAAATGGTTGGACAAGTCCGAAAACTGCACAAGAACACATTTCCCGCTCACATTAGTTTGGGCAATAACCATACACAAAGGTCAAGGTAATAAGGTCAAGGCGGGAATCCCACACTGGCAAGCGGGAATCCAACCGGTTTTATTAATGTTGGCTTTTCACGCGTGCAAACATGGAGCGAAAACAGACGGCAATAGTAAAGCCGTAAGGTGGTAAGAATAGCCAAAGGTGGTGCAAAAAATATTAAAAAAGGTGGTGCGAATAGCCAAAACGGGGTGAAAGGTGGTAACATTACAAAGGTGGTGTCAGGATGGTGAGAATAGGTATTTGCTAATATTTAATACAATATATACCTAATCAACATAACATTATGTATTTATCAACATTAACCAACATAAAATAACATCAGTTTTTTAATGTTTAAATTTTAACTGTGATGTAGTGTGCCAGCGCTTGCAATTTTTTGTTATTTTATTTTGATGGCTATTGCATATAAAACCAAATAACAAATCAATAACCTAAGCATTTTTGTACACAACTCTGTTTCCGGCTTCGCTTCGGTCTAATAGTGCTAGACAAAAGCGGTGCATGCACTTCCCTAGTTTTTATTAGTCACCAACCTATCAGACATATACTTCGAATTTGTTGCCCGTTAAGCTCGGTATTAGTGAAGTATTACGCTCCAGGAGGCCAGGTCCTGGGCGCTGGTGTCGTCGAGGTGGGGACGAGCGAGGTGGCCGTAATCGATGGTGGCGGGACGGACGGTGGTGGAGGTTGGCTCGGTGTCCGGCGGGGAACGGCGGTGGTTTAGTTTAGTTTATTTCGAGCAGACAAACCATGAGTACTCATAACTCTGGTCAAGGTCAAAATTACTGCGGTCTGCGGTCATAGCGGAAACAAAGACTGCCCGCCAAAAATCCACAAACCCGTTGCGGATCCACACAATGAAAAAGGTCCCAATGACTGCACCTGTACCTACCGCATGGTGGACGGGGTGAAGCATTCGTTCTGCCAGAACGATAGCAGCTGCAAGAAGAAGGACGAGAAGTGTTGTACGGTATGGCAAGGAGGTCACAATACCTGCGGGCCCAATTGCCGGAAAGCGGTGTAGCATCGGGTCTGCAAGGATCGAGCGCGGTGTCATATGCTCAAAATCTTCACGGTTTTATAACATCTTTTTGGCATCGCAGTTTCTGAACCCAGCTTACTGTTTAATCTTAATGTATTTTATATATATACACTACGACGTGACTACGTGGACAATCTCTCGATTGTGTAGCGGCAGGCACGTGATAAGAAAGAGGAATACTGGGATTTAAAATAATTTCGGATTTGTGTATATAAAAGGAATAATAATAGTAGGGGAAAGAATTTATGTTTATGTTTTGCGAACTATTATGTTTTGCACTGATAGTCTTAGATGTGTAGTAACAGGTGGTTTGTATATTGGGATGTAGGCTGGGACGTACATTAAAAGGTTGTTCGAGAGAATGTTTGGTTTGATTGGTTTGTTGACTGGATTTTTTTAGTTCGGTGGGTATATTAGAAGTTGAGGAACGTTGTGTTTGAGTTATTATGGATTTGACGAAGTATATGCAGTGAGGAGAATGTTTTTCTTGTTGGTTATTTTCTGATGGCCGGTTTAGATTTTCGGAAGCGTACTGATTCAGGTTGTTGTGTTTTGTTTGGCTTTGGTCTTTTTAGGTTGAGTATACTTTAGTAAGTTTGCTTTCATAGATAGTTACTTTTAAGTATTGTTTTTTTTAATAAAATAATGGAAACTGGTTGTGATCGCAAGAAATACGAAATACATGCGTGAGTATGTGCGTGATTATAGAGAAAAAAACCATAAAACGGAAACTGATGGTAGTTGTAACAAGGAAGATAATGAAGTAGCGATGATGTTAGACATGAAAATGTGAAGTTAAAAAACGAAAATGTAAACTTAACAGGGTCAACAAAACGCAACACTTCAGGACAAAATCGTTAAGTAATGCTTAAGAAAAGATCCGGACAACCATTACACATTACCATACTCCGCAAATGTCGTTTAGCACGTTCCCTTTACAAAAATTGTCCAATAACTTTTTCCAAACATACCAGAAAACGCACTACCTTTAGTATTCCGATTACATTTTTGTTTTTTAACTTTTACATTCTCATATCTAACATCATCACCACTTCCCACATTATCCTCCCTGTTACAATTACCATCAGTTTCGATTTTGCATTTCTTTCTATAATCACGCATATACTCACGCATGTATTTCTTACAAACACAACCACCTTCCATTATTTTATTAAAAAAAGAATTCTTAAACGAAAATATGTATGAAAGAAAACTTACTAAACCATACTCAACCTAAAAAGCCTTACCAGAGCCAAACAAAAGACAGCAACCTGAATCAGTAAGTATCCACAAATCCACACCGGCCACCAAAAAATAACCAACAAGAAAAACATTTTGCTCATCTATATACTTTGTCCACTCCATAATAACTCAAACACAAGATTCCTCAACTTCTATACCCACCGAACTCAAAAAATCCAGTCAATAAACCAATTAAACTATACATTTTCTCGAACAACCTTTTAATGTACCTACCAACCTACTTCCCATATACAAACCACCTGTTCCTACACATCCAAGACTATCAGAGCAAAACATAATAGTCTGCTCCATTAAGCAATCAACTTTCTCAAAATTTCTTGAATTTTCCACAATAATCCATCACTATCTACAACCCGCAACACACTCCACTTCCTGTAACACGTCATTAAACACTCAAATAAGAACAACCAGAAAGCCGAATATATTTATACCATACTACACTAAAAATCCCTTTATCTTCACCCAAATTCAATGTAGACCCTTTCTTCGCTACACTGGATTAGTACACCCTTTCTTCATTATCACTTTTCGTCAAACATATCACCTTTAATATAATTTACTATATTATGAAATTCTCTATTCAGCACTTTATATTCCTACCCCTTATAATCTCCACATACAATATACTCCTGCAATGTACTCCTACATTAAAGTGCTCCTACATATGTAGGAGCACATTGCAGGAGCATATTGGATTACGTTTGTTTGGAACTACAGTTCCGTTTTTCTCCTCCAAGAACCGATGAAACCGATGCATTGTGCTACTGCATAATGTACGTGCACATTGCAAGGTGCTCCTACATAATGTAGGAGCACATAATGAAACCTAAAAAAGATGCCGAGCTAACAACGCCATCTACAAGTTTCACGCATCGTTACTCGACGCATGTCACATGACTCATGTCACATGACTGTTAGGCCCCACCGCTTCCTTCAACCGGCCGGACCCTTCCGTACTCTACGGGCGCCAAAAATTACTTTTGTTTACACACGGATATCGAAGACCAAAAACCGAAACTACAGTTTCATATATGCTACGACTGATTCTAGTCGTATACCGCATATAAGAACCTGTCACGGTTCAATGAACCTGCCGCAAAACTTTGAACAGTACAGTACTTTGGTTGTATCACATTAATTTGTACTGTCGCTGTTAGAGGTGTATAGAGTGTTAGGTACTGTATCCGATTCTGTAGACGCCGTCGGCATCCATACCTTTCACACTTGATTTGTGAATAGTTGTGATTCCATTACTTATTGCCATATATTTTTTATTTCATTTCATCGACACACAGCGCTCGAAAGACGTGATAGTCTTGGAATCCTTGATAACGAATAAGCCACTGTACTGCGGCTGTTTAAAATCAATGATGATGAAAAATATCTTGAAGACTGTCACGAGCTCTCAAAAACGTAAGCAGATCTTTCAACAAATTTCTGTTGAGTCTATTCTGTGAACTAAATTTGCGTAAGCGCCAATAAGTTTTATCGTATGCCACTATGTCAGTGTTTTTCAGGTGACTGTTGCGCTGACGAGCAAGAACACTGGCATCTTATTCGTGGCAAAATTCTTTGTATTTATCAGCAAGTGTGGGCGCACTTCTTGATGCTCACCTTACGATTTATCCTGGAATTTGCGTGGGCAGCTTATACAACTTTAGCAACAAATGAGAAACCAGTGCCAGGAAGTCTGCCAGTCGGCGGGGCTAACGCAACGGTTGCGGTATTTACTAACGCTGTTAAAATTATGCGGCGGTTTTATGCCGAAGCAGATTTAGCGCATTATTAAAAAACTTACGCCTTTGCGTTTACAAGGTTTAATACGCACAAGTGAAACGTATTGACTGACAGCTGCTACGTGTCTTACAGAAAAACGAAACCAATATGGATGCGGATAAAGCATATCAGGGATGGACTCACTTGTTTTTTTTGGGATTGTTATGGATTTTATTTTTATATGCATGGACGCTGTCCCTATGGAATTTGCTTATGCTAAGGAAGCTTTGGCGATGGCATCCTAATAGAGAGAGGGCACTGTTACCAGGGGTCATTCGATCCCTGCAGCAAGCTTACTTACCGCTTCTGATAACGATGATACTGTGTGGCGTCGTACTGCTCCCTTCCATAGCGCTGTATGGATGTAACTGGAAAAGTGGAATAGACTCAAAGGGTTGTGAGAACGTAAAAGCAACAGACATGATTGCTTGTGTGTTAGTAACAGCATGGATGGTCGTGTTGACTGCCATTATTCTTACGGGATGCTCAATTTGCTTAGCAATCTACCTTTTGATCAAGAAGCTGAAAGCGTCCAGCTCTCCTCGAAAGAAAGTTACATGCAATATTTGAATTTGGAGTGCTATCACATTAATTAACCGCATGAGTTGGTACAGTATATAAAGTACTCGCCTGCACCGCCAGTAAGAGCGGAGCTGCCCAACCAATCGCTTATTTCTAGCCTTCGAATACGTATCCGAAGCCTTCGCGAAAGAATTTTGCCTTTACCGATTATAGTCTACTTCTAGCATGGGTGAAGACTTAATGTGTAATAAATCTTGATGAAAGTCTGTAATGAAAAAAATCTGCTCCGATGAACTTGCATTTTTCGGCACTAACAGTACCTGGTCCACAGACTACACACTCCACTGCTTCGTTTGCGAATAAATATGTCACTAGTATCCGACGTGACTAACCGGTTTTCTAAAAATCTTTTTATTACATGTACTGTTAACCTGCGTTTGAAAATGAGAACCTACTGTATATTAAATCGTTCTGCACTAGAATTTAAAACTAAACAGGTTGTGCGCTCAAGCAGTCCGGTGCTACACTGCAAGACGTGTAATCCCGTTGTTGCGGAACATACTCATATGGTCGTTGAAGGGAAGCAGAATGCTGAGAATGGACAGCTTCCGATAAATTTGCGCAGTCATGCTACGTTCATGGTAAGCTAGTCAGAACAGATATATCGTCGTTCCAGTTATTAACTGCGTTACAGCTTATCAATGATAACCCCTTTTGTTTAGGGTAATAATAAAACACACTATTATTTTATGCTACGAGTATTTTGGTGATAATTGGAAAGGATCGAACAAATACACGCCAATTTTGCTTTCGGATTAAAGAAATCTCTCCTTTTCAATGGCTGGCTTGCAGCGTAATAATGCGAGTCTGTAAATCATCGTACTAATCGTTTGCCACCGGAAGCAGAGAAAGTTTCGTAAACAACATATTACTGTACATACTCTGTAGTACGCATACGTTTCGCACGTTTACCGGTTTCCCTTTAAGTAATTTTTGCAGTGTTGACTGATTATTGGTGAACCCGCGGTCAGCAATATAGCATATACAAACAATTGCATAAAGGAGACACTATTTAAAAGTAGGTGAAAGATAAATCAAGTTCTCCGGATCTCTGTATAGTTGCCACCATATTCCAAAAGGAAGCTTGTGTATATTTTAGTCTGTACAGTGCCGCTCTACAGTAGTATAGGCTTTTGGCGAAGCTATAAGGTATAGCTTCCCCAGATGCCTATACTACTGTAGAGCGGCACTGGTCTGTATCGCTGTTTATACAGGATTTAGATTTTCCTCATTCTGTAAGCTACTGCCTCTGGGTATACCGGCATTCAAGAGGTTATAATCTAGATTATGTCCCTCCGGACCGAATCGAAGTTTTGGCATGAAATCCTACAAGGTGGATGGCAAATAACATCCCGGATGCACAGGGATGACAGCGATTGTAAAAAGGACGAAAAATGTTGTAAAGTTTAGAAATTTAAGCACCATCCCTATCTGCGTATCAGAAGTACTAGTGTGCGGCTCTGTGCCGCACAGCTGGCTGACCGGCGGCTCTTTAATTTGCTATGACAGCCGAGAAAATTCAGTGGTGCCGAACACAGAAATAAATAATTCCTCATTGTACGAACAACCATAGTACATAATAACGAATTTCCAGAGTACCTGCATGGATTTGCATGACCTTCTATAAACAAAACTCAGTAGTTGTACTCCTTCGATGTATTTAAACAATTTATTTGCTGAAATGTCGGTACCACACTACAGAAAACTAGATTATTAAAGAGACCCTCCGGACTCCAAAGGGCCGGTCATATTTCGAGAAGGGTAATCCAGTCTTCATACTTTAGGTTTAGAGCTATTGTAAGATCGACGAAAACCGAATTTTTCTATAACCTTGCTTGCTCCACCGATTTCCCTGTCCTCGGAAACGTGCTCGTATTTACGACGGCGGTGAACCGTAAGGGACCTAAAAATATAAGCAGTTCGGTGCACCGGAAAGCTGTGGTAGCTCGCGGGGGTTTATTTGATCTGCATTTTATTTGGCTGTGTTAGTATAATTAAGCCAAAAATCAGAATTCATATGGAACATTTATGCCTGGCATAACTGCAGTAAATTCAGAATGTGGTGAATTCCCACCAAAAACTCCATGGTTGCACATCACCTGGGCCAGGTGTTGTGCACCCATGGGGTTTTTGTGTGGTTTTGGGAGCTCATGTTTCAGGTGTTCCGCTTCCGGAGAACATCCTTTAATTTATGCTTTGTTCTAGGTTCCCTCCTGTTCCTGTTCCAGGGCGCTGTTCTCTCCTGATTTTTGGGACTGTCCCTTCCTAAAGCTTGGACTTGAAGGTGTACCAAAAGTCTCGTTATAGAACGATCTGCTTAAAATTTTTCATGTACATATAAGTAGGTGCACATTAGTATAAAGATCGTTTCACCGAACCATGCAAGATTAAACTGCACATTAAAGTGAATAACGTTTTCATTCGTTCGTTCGTTCGTTCGCAGAATCACCGGCGGAACCGGTCAAGTCGGAAAACAACTGTTAAATTTTAGGTTATTAACTTTAGTGCATCTGCATGTCATTTTTTGGCTCGTACAACTCTAGTACCACCTTTCACACCACCTCTAATTGGCTCTTAATGCTCCCTTTTCAAAACCATCTTTGGTACCTTTGGCTTCGTATACCACCGTTTTTTTTATTTCACAATTTTAAATTCGCTACTTTAAAAGCCTGTTATGAAATTCTTAAAATTTGAAGATTAGTAACACTGCAAGTTCAAACTCCCGGGAAACTTAGTTTTTAGCGTTCAAAGCACACAGTGCGTCTGAGAATTAGCGCGACACCATCAAAGCTTTTCTCCCATGTCTGAAAAACGGAGGTAAAGATTCAACGGCGCAGCTTTTTTGTGAACGTTTCTGCGCAGGCGAGCCGTTCTAATATCTCTGATAGTAAAATTTTATGAAAACAAATGCTGATATACATCTGTAAAAGATATCAGATAAATGGTGGTATGCAGACTTCAGAGCCAAAACTGGCGTAGCACACGTGGCATGAAGGGTCATAGGCGGTACTGGGGGAGCCAACGGCGGTATGCGGAGTCTTCTCAACAATTTTATTAAGGTAGATGCTGCGTATACGGGAAAACCTTGGTGATGGCTGCGTGAACGGGTAAATCCTTTCGTTTTAAATCGCTCGAAATTTAAAAAAAGAATCTTTTTAAAGCCGAACTGGACTTTATGAGCGGAAACGTAGCGCTTAATTAGTCATCTAATGATAATAGAGGAGAGACAAAGGGGTGGATGTGGTCAGGGAGCGGTTTCAAAGACAAAGCGGCGTTAAAACGTTAAATACGGGGTGGCTGTGTGCTATCGCAAGGGCCACCGCATTTGCTGACCGGCTTGACCATGGAACGGCTACATTCGAACCGGAAATGATGCGAGGAAATCTGAAGGCCGCATTCAAGGCCATGTATGTGTACGAGTACATCAAGACCGAACGAGCGGTGTTTTATTAGGTAAAAAAGACGCGAGATGCGAAATACGAAAAAATTAACGAACTGGGGAAACAATCTACGTTCTAAATTTCAGTTTCTGATTTGTTCAGTTAAACAACGAGGCGTGAAGTCAGTGGGAAAACAGCAACTTCATGTCCGATGTATCAAGCCAGTACACTACGCCGTGATTTATTCTTATAATCAACAGTTACAGATTCAGCACAATGCCATCCGACAGGGTTGCAACTGAAAGGGCTGTGGCCGTTTTTGAAAGGATTTGAAATAAAACGACATTTGAAACTACAAAAATGAATTTTGTATAAATTATTTCGCATTATTTTTCGGTGTGTAAACAAAGTAACTGAAAGATACATTAATGGTTTCGTTATTTTCAACGGGTCCTTTCGTTGTATTTTAGGAATCAGCAATGAATCTGATAATTTCGCCATACAAAATTCTTTAAATAAAAAATATTTTTCATTTTCGACCACTCGTTTGATTTTGAATGATGTAATTGGAAGCTGAACCCGTACATGGATAAAAAGAAAATAAAAAATTTCGGTTATCTATAGCAGTGCTTTTTATTTAAGAAACAGTATGGTTGACACTATCCGGACCAGCAACAACCCTTTCATTACGTTTCCGTTCCTATAGCTATCAATGGAAGATTATTATCCCTGTTAATAAATGGTTAATTAAAATTAATAGTAAAAGAATGGTTCAATTAAATAAAAAATAGGTAAAATTAATGGTTTAATTAAGTAAAGTTATAAATCGTGGTAAAACCACAGAGCAGCACTTACGATGGTCTTGATCACCCATTTGCGTGAATCGTTACACAGCACATGGAAAAAGGTTGATGGAGAAGATGAGCATCAGGCCGAAGAAGAGCGGCAGGGCATAATGCGATCATACCCATGAGTCCATGCAGGAATTATAAATAAAATCAATCCCCACAATCGTAATTCATATAAGATTCCTAACAAAGTTGAAACAGCTCTTAGAGGAAAATAATCACCAGCATCTTAGCCATCCAATAAATTTGAAATATGAGAAAAACTGAGTGTCACAGGACCGATCTCACATCTATAATAATCTCGTATATTATGTATCAAATAATAAACAATTAAGCAGCCGAATTTGCCCAGTCAAAAATCGAAAAAACGAGTAAGAAAATTTCTAAATATTAATACAAGAAAAAAGGAAAAACACGAACTTACAAACTGACCTGCCAATGCAAAATAAACAGTCCCCACGTCACGCCCATCTAGCTGCCAGCTGCGACAGCCCGTCTTCAGCAGGTACGCCACGACCGGCATCTCCACGACAAAGAACGGATAGCCGAAGCTCTCGCGCATCGGCGGCGTCCACATGACCCGCGCAGCCTCCCCGTGGTTGAACAGGAAGCACGGTAGTGTGCACTGTGCAATGACGCCGCCGCCGAAGCTCTCGATGAGCAGCCAGCCGGTTAAACAGAGGACGAGGCCAATAACAGACCCGTTTACTCCCAATAAATACAGGTAAAAAGGATTGCCAAGGCCCACGCAGACCGTCAGCGGCGAGTGGCCGGCGCCGCGGTTGACACGAAAACCCTGCACGGTGCTGATGTCCAGGGAATCGGTGACGGCTGAGTAGATGAAGTAGATGCCGGCAAGGAACACCTATCGCAACAGCCGTTTCTCGTACCGCACGCATTTCTCTTCTTTTCTAATTTTTATTCGACGCATTATATTCGCATATCTGGCAGTTTCCTTTACTCTGTATGTATGCACAAACTCCAATGATTGTTTTATTTTTTAAGACCAGATTTTTTATCGGTGACGGTGGAGTAGATGCGGCGGTTGATGCCGGCTGGGAACACCTATCGAGTATATTTTCCATTATTTTTACAATAAATTTTCAAATAATTTTTCTCAAATTTGAATCTTTGAAAATTTGTTTTTTTAAATTTGCGTTTAAAAATAAGAAAATGTACGGGCCGAAAGAGCCTGCAACTAAAAGACGTATTGCTTACGCTGGATGTATTACGAAGTGTTTAGTTTGGGGTTGGGAGCTATCGTAGTGCATAGGCTCAAAGCAAAACCGATAACGATTCCAGTAAACAGCCAAGGTAGGAAAACTGTGGATAGTACGTAATACTCGTACGTAAAAAATCCTCACATTAAGATGAAAATATAAAATATATTTTTTGATACATTTTATAATTTAAAGGACTATTTAAAAAATGTGCCTCGCGTAACCAATTCTTCGTGATTTCTGTCACCAAGAGCTTGTCAAATTACAAAGACATGTAATGAGGAAAAAAAGATGCCTCGGTTTAAATAAGGGTTTAAAAATAATCTAGTGTGAACTGTTGGTGATCTAGTGTGAACACGGAAAAATTTCATAGAGTACGCACCCCTGGATTGAGACTGAAGCGATTAATAAAGTTGACTTCTTCTTTGGGAAACAGGGTATTCCGTGCTGGTGTCAGTGGTGGTGTGTGCACAATCGCCAGCACACCGCTGAAATTAAAAAGCTCGGGGCCTCCACAATGTGTTTATAAAACGAATAATACAATCCCTAAAAACACAGAAAACTCTAGTCGCCGTTTAACATGCTTACAAGTTACAACACAACAGAATTGTTAATTAATTATTCGTTTAAAATTGACTAAATGAATTAACTCAGAAATCAGGTCAGTAAATTAATAAATTAGTTTTTTTCAGAAATTATTTAACAAACGTAAACGACCAGATGCGTGCGAGGACGTACAAACCTATCAAGTCATTACCAGTGATTTTGTTTTCTAAAAAATAAACAATACTGAAACATTATAAATTAAAAATGTTTTATCAGAAAATTTCATAACCGTAGAAAAGTGAAAATCTACAGAAAACCAGAAGACAAATGTGCGATCACGGACAGTGAAACACGGCAGGCATTCCATCAAACTCTGTACAAAACGCACGGCAGCAGTCACTTCTATTACAGGACATACAACGCATCCGCCATATAAACATTCATCTGTTCCGTACGGAATATCATTTCCCGTTCCAGCTGAGATAAATGCGAAAAGAACCGATCACAGTCAAACAAATAGACAAATGCCACATGTGGAAGATGGAGGCCCGCAAAAATGCCTACCCCAGCGAAGAACAGCGCAGGGAAAACTGCGGAAGGGGCTGCGCGCAGCGGAGGGTGAACGCGACGCGCTTCGTCCAGTTTTGGCTCGCGGCGATGAGCGCGACGACGGACTGCGCAGCGATTTCGTCAGCAGCGAACATTTGCTGGTAAGGCGGGCGCGGATATAGTTGACAATCTGACCCGTGTCCATTTTACAAACAACAACCTCAAGAGATATCCGGAAACTAAGAAACACGGAATAAACTGGAAAACGGAGTCCTAGTAAAACGTGACACGTCTGATCGAGAACATGTGAAGATGACCATGACTACGAGCGCAGAAGTAGCGTGGAGAGGCAAGTTTATGCGCTGAGCAGCCTGAGCCGACGAAACTCGTGTAATTATCTCCATGTACTCTGTACGTATCTACATTCTACCGGCTCAAATAAGTTATTATTTTCTGTTTTATTTCCTTTGAACTAAGTTAGCTACTTTTTACCGGTGTACAAATCATCGGTCAGTTAATTCCTTATTTTCCTTACCGGTTATCGTATTTTTTAATAGCGAGCGATCTGTACGTGGGTTTGTTCTGACTGTTTGTAAGTCCAACCTAAATCAGTTGCAACTACGCTGCGCTGGTGCAATTTGATTTAACCTGAATTATTTATTAAATAATGAAATTTATATAAATAACAGAAAGTGTCGATTATGAAAACTAAAAATTATTTAAATTTATTAACACATTGTGAACTGATGCCTTAAAAATATATTGAATTGATTGATTTCCAGTTTTTAAAAAAATTTAAATCATTTAATTGCTGTGACGAATTTTATTCTGTACTCTGTTTAATAATAGAGAGGCGGGATATATTGTACGATATTTTGTGGAATTTTAAAGGTTGGTATTACACGTTTACTCAGTTTTGTTTCGAATATGTACCAGTATTTTCGAAGAACTGGGTTTATTTGGGAGAACTATCTGTTTAAGGCGAATTTTGAATTATTAAGAGGGAATTTGTTTCACGGATTAACTGAAAGTTTTGTCGCGGAAAATGCACAGATAAATTGCAAAATTGTAATGGGTTGTATTGCAAAGGTCATTGTTTAAGTGTGTCAATGTCCTGATTTATTGGGGGAAAATGTGCAGCGATATGATACGCGGAGAGTGAATTACTGTACATGTATATGCCGTCAGCGGCAAAGAGTATTTTGTAAATTTTAAATTTCTTGTTTGTGTTCTCGCACTCTTGCAGTACAGTACACTTTTCCAAAATTTTCCTTGGTTTTTCCTGGTATTAATTGAAGATTATCTGATCTTTTCGAAAAGCAAGCCGACTTGTGGATCAACAGTATTAATTTCACTGCTTAAATTTCACAATATTTGATAATGCTGGTTGCGTATTATGTTTTTCAAAAAGGCAGATTATTCTTGAATTATGTGTCTCTTAAAAAAATAATAAAATTATGTTTTTCAAAATTAAATCATACAGTTTTCCAAAAGGCTGACTTTACGAGCTAGGTAGAAACCGGAAAAGCAAGAGTATTAATGTAATTTATAATTTAATTAAAATTCGCAAGAACCCGGCGTTGTAGCACAGCGCCGCGGTTTAAAATTATCATGGTACAGTGGCTATCCTGAATTTGATTTTTCAATTTTTGTCGATTTTCGTTTGAGTTTTTGTAGTCGCAAAAACACGCGTTGAAACACTTACCTGAAAATAATTTTGTAGATTAGATACGTAGAGAAATGTCTAAAAATTCAAATATCAAGCAAACTATGATAGCTACCTTTAAAATCATTTTTTTCCGCGGATTAAATCGCTGTTATCTCCTAGATCTAGTGTTTTGTTTGCAGCAGTGTCAGTGCCGGTACGAAACGTACATTAAACACCACGGCTCGAAAAATTCCCTTTGAAAAAGAACCGCATGTTGAGTCAACTCTACATATGAATAATAATAATGCAAATAAATAAAGATGTAAATAATTTACGTGTATAATTTATCGGCCACATCCAAACATGTGGAGTTCGGTTTGAAATCCACGAGATGGGTGAACGCCGGTGCATTGTTCGAGTACTCTCTACATAATCGCTGTGCGCAACATGGACAAATACTTGTATGTTTAAAGAAAATTAACTAATTAATTATGGTTGTATTTATTCGCACATCTATTTTATAATTGATAAAAAACAAAATTGGCGCAACAAAGCAAAACTGCGCGTTGACAAGATATCTTGTGTGGACTGCGACGAAAACTGGTGTCATGTTCATAATATGCACGGAGAAATTGAAAACTCGTCGTCGATCGTTCCAATTTAACGCATAAATAAGCGCATTATATAAATATAAGCGATAACAATTAAACTGATATATTGCTGCAGATTTTCGAGAATTTCTCTTATTGTTTTCAACTACATTGCATGTGTCCGCGCTAGAAGCCAAAATGTATGATTTCGTTTTCCTTAACGGCTGGGCCGTTCAACGTGGGTTAGTGGCTGTTGCAGTAGTTAGTGTAGAAATACGGTACAGTAGTTGTAGTGCAGTAGTAACTAAAGTAGCGTAAAACAGAAGTAGTACCGCGCAGTAGCAGTCGTACTTCAAAAAAGCGCGCTGCAAAGCCTTCCGTACCAGTAGCGGGGCCGCCATATGAGTTGCGTACCAGTCGTAGCCCGGCTGCGTCGTATCGCAAGCGGTGCGAAGCCGGTTGCCGTACATGTGAGTTTATCAGTCGTACCAGTAGCGGGGCCGCCAAGCCCGGCTGATATACTCGCATGTGCGGCACCGGCGAAGCCGGTTGCCGTACATGTGAGTTTATCAGTCGTACCAGTAGCGGGGCCGCCAAGCCCGGCTGATATACTCGCATGTGCGGCACCGGCGAAGCCGGTTGCCGTACATGTGAGTTTATCAGTCGTACCAGTAGCGGGGCCGCCAAGCCCGGCTGATATACTCGCATGTGCGGCACCGGCGAAGCCGGTTGCCGTACATGTGAGATTCGTTCACTCTCACACGCAGGTAGCTGGCTGTTCATGTTACTCCCTGCTTGATTTATTATTCAGCAACGTTCAGCATGGCTTACACTCCTTTTGGTCAATTGTCAATATGCTTTTTGCACAACAATATTAAATCGTTCACTCTGGATACATATCTGTGCTGTACATAATTCACAACGAAAACTTCTAAAATAAATAAATAAATACGTTATAACAAATTAAACCAAATACTCGTACAACAAATAATTAATAATTTTAACTGTAAATCATAAAAATAAGTTTAAAAATTTACTTGATCTGTACCAAAATTGCAATATCTGGCCTGAGATTTATCACTGATACTCGCAATTCGATGCTAGCGCTGAGTGGTAAAGCCTCTAGTACAGCGCCATTGCACTTCCCAACCTTATACCGGGAATGCTGCAATGTGCAATGCGCGAAAATTACTGTAACCAAACGCCGTTTTACCTGTACCGGAAGCCGGTGCGACGACATAGTGGCTTATTTCGGCATTGTTGTTTTCCTTTGAATTTGCATACAGAGATCAATGAGTATAAAGCCCTTATTTCAGCATTATTTTTTTGTAATATTGTTTCGGCAGGCTTTTAAAATGCCGCATTTCTGTGTAACTCGTGATGCGTTATGTTTTCCGTTGCCTACTCGCGCACTTGGACATAAAATGATTTAATGTGAAAACAATACAAAATGGGTTTTTTTCGATTGCAACTAAACGCGTCCGCCAGCCATAATAATTTTTACGAGCCATTTCGTTGAATGTCATAACGTCCGTGAAATGAAATGCCATGTCGAAAATCGCTCTTCTATACGTACATTTAGTACTTAATACTACTTACATACAGGACATACATTAATATCTTTAAGTCAATCTGCTTACATAAAATTAGTGTCCAATCATGTATCCATCCAGTTTGTGCACCTTTATGCTCATTATTCTTACTGCCGCCATAGTGGAAACAAAAGACTGCCCGCCAAAAATCCATAAACCCGTTGCGGATCCACATAACGATAAAGGTCCCAATGGTTGCACCAATACATACCGCATGGTGGACGGGGTGAAGCATTCGTACAGTACTGCAAGAACGATGGCAGCTGCAAGAAGGACGAGAAGTGTTGCACAGTATGGCACGGAGGTCATGATACATGTGGACCGATTTGTCGGAAAGCGGTGTAGGCTCGGCATGATAGCAAAACTCGTTTCGGTGTACAACTACACAAACGTTTCTTGATAAGCCGTGTTTCGGGATATTGCAGTTTCCAAAGCAAACGGACTAGTATTTATTCTGTATTGCGCTTCGAGAATTGGCTACAAATCGCTGATATATATATTGATGACATTTTTGATTAAATGTATAGCTTATTTCTGCATGATGGTAACAAAAAAAGACAATGCGATAACCTTTTTGCGCATACAATACGGCCGGATTGTAAGTACTTCAGTAAATCGATTTGAATTATTTCTCTTACCATTAAATTCCTTTGTGTACAACTTAATACCAGTTGGTACCGCAGTTTTACTGGCCGGAAGCACAGAAAGTATTGCGAAAAGCACCACATCAAAACAAAAATATAATTATACAAGCTTTCGGTTGTCCTGTTATTACTTTTTGAAATATTGATCGATCGCCGTTGAGCACGATATTGAATTTACAGCACATACGCCTGAGTAGCAACTAGCAAGTAAACAACCGTTTAAGTAACGCTACAATTTAACGCGGCTGAATAGACAAATTACATAAATCCTCCATCGTTGCAAGCATAAACCTAAAAATAAATTGGTTTAAGTGCAAAGTACAGACTATACCTACACGATTTTAATCCTTTTCTAATTATTAATTAGTACGCATTTTCTACGTATACGACTGCAGCATAGGTATTTCTAATTGTACGTATTGAAGTATTAATAAGGGCATTTTTGATGTGTTTGTTATAACTTGATTTTTGTACTGCACGTTGCAAAACCGGCCGCCTGAAGCCAAAAATAAGCGTAAAAACATCATTAACACAGTTCACACACAACAACAAAAGTGTTTTGAGTTTCCGGCTCTGTATAATATGATCTACTCAGCTCTATTTTCGGCCGACAGGCACAGCTCTACAGCCGATGCGTTCGTATTTAAAAAGGTTTGAGAGACTACAGGAAACAGCGGGATATTTTTTCTCATACATGTACAGGGAATCAAATAATATTATTGGTGTATCAGATTTGGTGTATCAGATTGTGGACAGCGGTCTTCAGAATATAAGTACATATCTACAGAGTTACCTATACAAATTTTCTCCTAGTTGTTTAATCACTGAACTGCTCCGCCATGTACCAACCAATGATCTGGATCCTTAGCGTGATTATTACCTTGGGACTGTTAACGGTAACGTCCGAAGCTAAATCCTGTCCGACTTTAATAGAACCACCAGATCCACCGGGTCGCAAAAACGCCATGAACACTCCCGGACCAAATCAGTGCTTCAAAAATTCCCGCAAAGTAGACGGCGTGGAGCATCAAGGATGTCGGCATGACAGCGATTGTAAGAAGGAGGAAAAGTGCTGTAAAGTGTGGAAGTTCAAACATGACCCCTGTGTGTCCATCTGCCGCACACCTGTCTGACCGTTCTTCTAATTTGCTACGACAGTGCTGGTGAATTTCATCGTGCCGGAAATGAAAATTATCGTCTCCTTATCGATTTCAACAAATATCAACGAATTCTAAAAGGAGTCATCCGACGCCTTTTTTACAAATCTTTCGTACTGTATAATCATTAATTGTAAGTGTACGGTACGCGTAGGACGTTCTGACACAGTACGATGGTCCCTGAAAGCTGTATCAAGAAGTTAAGAAAGATTTCTTTGCAACGACTGCGCCGAGAAAAATATTAACTTTACGGTAAACAAACGCTACAGCACCAATAGAAAAGCTATGCTATATAAAATATGAAAGCACATAGAACGGTATATCGCCGGCATCTTACTATATATGGGCAAATAAAGAACGGAAATTTGTTTTAAAGGCCTGCACGTTCATTGCCCTTCTATACTTCTATAGACAAATAAGTTATGCAACACTTTGTACACTGCCGGTTAAGGCAGTGTACAAAGTGTTGCAATTTTTTCATTATAATGAATTAAGGCAATTTATAATGAATTAAGGCAATTTTTTCATTATAATGAAAAAAATCTGGATTAATTTCGGAATAGTTATTTGTGGATTAAAGCTAGGTAAATTCTTACGTAATTATGTACTAGATAACCTCGTAAAGCGTTACGAATAATTAACGATTATTTGCGCATAATTAAAATTAAAAGGCCGCAAACGCCTCCATTGCTACCTAACCGCTCTGGACGGTAACCTTTTCTCGTATACTTCATCATACCGCGACATATTTGGTGCGGGTTCGGTTGGCGCATAAATGTCATACAAATTTCAGCGACTCGTACATCTTTAACCTCGCAAATGGCATCCCGCGTGCACATGGATGCTCTTTTATGGCAACCTGTAGCTTTATCCCAAGCTCTTCCTGGAAATATTCTTTCCTTCTCATGAGATCTAGAGGAAGGATGAAATACTTACACGCTTCCCGAGTATACAGTATTTACTTTCATAAGCGATAAAGAGAAATTTCGTTTCCAGCGATTCGCAAGTGAATGTCATGCAGTATTTGCAGACTAGTATATTTATATAAACTGCAAGGATGGTACAGACTGTACAAATTAACTGCATTTGACGGCAAAGAGTGGTACTTTAGTCTTTAGCTTGTTTAGCTGGCCTTATACAGTGGTTCCGTAAAGGCATATTTCTTTGTACCGTGTGCCTTGTCTTCCTAATAGTTACTGGAAGAGTGTTTGAATTTTAGAGTGGAGTCAACAGAATGCACAGAGGTAGGTAATTAAGTACAGTTGGGACTTCCGTTATAATAATTATGATATTTGTATTATTCGTAACAAGTACAGAGGGTGAGCCATCCAGGTTGTTACACTTTCAGCACAAAATTCATCCTCAGTTTACGGTTAAGCTTACCACAAATCTGCTGATCCAGTTTGATTACTAACTCTTTTAGAACGTAAAACATGTAATTGTTAGTGAATGTCAGTTATTTGTGAGCCGCGAGATTCCCAGTTCTGACGCCGATCAGAGGAAAAAACTCCGATCACGACTTTCCACTTCATGGTTGTTTTTCAGAGCGATTGTAAATCAGGGATTGGCTTTTTCTAGTCCGATTGTTATTTGAACTGTAGAAGACGCTTGGTACAATAGGTTGATCTACAGATATGGTCGGGCAATTAGAATCTAGATTCAAGGGAAACAAAACAGATATTTGGTGTACTTCCTGATATTCAGTTTTAGTAAAATGGCTTGTCTAAGCCGTTAAAAACTCGTGGGATAAAGTCAGAGCTTTTTAAATTGTTGCGACGAAAACAAAATTGAGTTGAAATATGTATCTAAAAGTTATTCTGAAACTTTGAGTAGAAACGAACGCTTGGTATCGAAATGGCAGGGATTTTAAGGACTTCATTGTCAAATTTGGGATACGACGTCCAGAAAAACCCAGCCGCTGTTCCGATCAAGGCCGAATAAGTTTTATATGAAGGAGGTATGAGCGGGATACACTTTCATTATTATATCTTTATAATATATGGTTCACGGAGTTTTTAAAAAAAATTTTATCTGAGAGTAGTCGCAGTTTTGAAACGCAGCCTCCGGGAGCCATGTTTCAGTCTTTACAGTCCTGAAATTCCGAAAATTTTCTTGGCCAGTCCGGAGTCTGCTTAAAAGAAGCAAAATATCCTTGGCTATCAGAAAATGTGTTTTGACAAACTGTAGCAAACCCAAGGCATAAAAAATGTTTATGACCAGTGTAACAACCTGGGTGGCTCAGTCTCTGTACATGTACTACGTACATTACTCGTATATGCCCTTTTTTTCTTATGATTTTCGACGCGATTTTTTTCCGTATTGTATTTCCGCATTGTTTCCGTAACTGCAATAAGGGATTTCTGGTTTGTGCGTAATACAAGTTTACTTTTAATTTGTTTGGTGCAGCGTGATTGTAGTGTTGTACAACTGCCGGAAGCCAAACGTAGCCATGAAAACACACCAAATTCACATAAACAAAAATGTTTTGAATTTCCTGCTCTGTGTATCTAATCTGTATGTTATTCTATGCCCACTAGCACAACATTTACAACCGCAACTGCTGCAATGTGCTCTGATTTAAAGAGACTTGAGAAACTATAAATGATATTTGGTTGTTTTCTCCTACATTTAACAAACTAAATTCTAAAAGTGAATTGCTGCATTGCATTGTGAACAGTGAGGCCTAAACATTAATTACAGTAAGTACGTACAGATTTAACTACATAATCATTGTCCTATCCCTCCAGTCATAGAACTGCTTCGCCATGTATAATCCTGCTATCTGGATCATGAGCGTGGCTGTTACGTTGCTCATGTTAACGATGACGGCCGAGGCTAAATCCTGTCCGCGTTTAGTAGAACGCCCTAATCCACCGGGTAGCGGCAACTCCTTCAAAACTCCCGGACCGAATCAGTGTTTTGACAATTCCCGTAAACTGGACGGTGTGGAGCATCAACGATGTCGGCATGACAGTGACTGCAAGAAGGAGGAAAAGTGCTGCAAAGTATGGAAGTTCAAACATGTCCCCTGTGTGTCCATCTGCCGCACAGCTGTCTGACCGTTCTGCTCTGCTACGACAGCCTGGTGAATCCCACTGTTGCCGGCAATGGAAATTATCGTTTCCTAGCTAACTATAAATTTTAGGGAATTCCAGTAACAGTCATCCTATGCTTGTTTTACAAATTTGTTGCATATAAGGGATGTTCGGTAAAAATATAATATTCTGGCACAGTGCGATCCTCGCCTCAAAGCTGTATCGAGAAATAATAAATTTTCTTTGCAACGGCCAGCGTAGAAAAAAACTATTACCTTAAAGAATGTAAAAGCCACTTACAGAAAAGTATACTTTATAAACCATGAAAGCACAAGCAACAAAAGTGAATGGTAACAAAAGAAAAGAAATCTGTTAAATTTCTCGTGTAGAAATTTTTAAAGATTGACCGGCACCATTTCAACATAAGCCCTTCTTTTAACCATCGACGAACACGATCTGTAAAATTTGTAAACTGTCAATTTGATCGCTAAGGTGGAACAAATTTTGTCTGTGGTTGAAACAAGGTTTTGCATAATATGTATTACATATACGTGTATTGTAGATAAGCTTATAAAGCATTACAAATAAGTTACAGAGTACGATTATACTCGTACGCTCGCTCCTTTAATTAAATTTACAAAAGCGTTACCTTTTTTTCTCACAGTTCCATGAAGTGTTTAGACAAAATGTCCGGCTTTTCAAGCTTTACATAATCGTACTTAACACAAATTTTTGCTTATACGAGTAGATTTACGTGTATGCTTACTTTGCGCTTTGGTCCATAAAATAAGGGATTTCCGTGTACCTTGTACTTAGCAAACTCGATGTACGCATTCTGACGCCAATTTGAGTATGCATTCCTCTGTTTATTATAAAATTACTCAATATTCAACGGTTTCAAAATACCGGACTAATGAAATTAGTTCCCGCATAACCGTGCCCAAGCATTACTTACATGCAAGGAATTTACAAATCAACCGCATGTTTGTTTGACCGGCTTTCGCGAACATAAACAAACCATCCTGCTTGCGACTGACATCGCGTCTTCTGTGAAAACTTTCACCGTGGTAATTTTCCCGCCGTTCATTGCAGTTTAAGCTGAATGAAATACAAACAGCACATTAACCGCAAATGAAGCGAAGTACCGGTATACGATATTAATATACAGCACAGTCACACATGTCTTTTTGCGATCAGATAGGAAGTTTGCGGCGTGATATTTATCGCTGAATTATTAAGTACGCCAATGTGCACTGCTATAATAATGTACCGGCTCGCGTTGATTGTCCATGTTGATCCGCTTCGGGGATCAATTACGATGCATATGCCGGCACGCACTTCATTAATTAGAAACTTGTAGCGCGCGGCAATCAACAAACACAGCAATAGGTTTCTGAAAACACAGACTATCGTGAAGCGTTGTTGTTACTGCCAAACATGCAATGCGGCCGCGAAGTGTGCCTTATCGTCATAAAACTTTATTGTCCAGATTGGAGAGAGCCAGATGGTGATTTTAGTGGAAAACTCTCACTTTTATCCATCGCATGCTGATTATCCTTACCGGGACGAAGTATTTTAAAGGCTGACGTGTTAGTAATCTGGAAAATATCAACGAGTGTTACATGTTCCATCGGAGTAACGGAAACTTCCAAACTGCCATTGAATGAAACATGTGCTCATTTTCCCGAATATTCGCATCATTTTCTTCCTTATGTGAAACAGTTATTTCTTCGAATATCCAGACCGGCTGAATACATTTTCGGATAGAAATAATTCCGGTTATTCGTTGTGATGTGCAAGAAATTTAACAGCGGAAGAGTACAACATGGTATTGCTCCGCCATGATGACGTCAGTTTTCCTGCTTTATTCCGGGTGTTCTCTTTTGCTGGCGCTGAGCGCAGCGACAGATGACACACTCTTAAGGGAAGTATTTCGGGATGACTTTGATGGTACCGCCGTGGATCTCGGTAAATGGTTCGTCGCGGATATGCCCACGGCGTTAGGCTCCGAACTGCAGTATTATGATCCGCAGAATGTCGCTGTGCAGAATGGCACGCTGACCATTACAGTGAAATACGTCGGCGACCAAAACCACAAGGACACACAGGTATGTTAGTCCGATTATTTAATTAATTTATTAAAAATTAACAACGACACCGGAAAGTACGAATCATTTCGCTAGGCTTCCGTGCTAGCTGTCATTAATAATTTTTAATGACTAAAAATGCATTTAAAATTAAACTTAAAACAAAACAAATATTTACAAATATATCTGTATGTGACTGTTATGTATAGAATAAATGCACGGAGTGTATATGATCGATAATTTGTCGGCCTAATTTCTATTTCTTACGATATGTGGTGAACCAGTTTAGTTTTAGTAGGATGGATTTTTTGCAAAGCAAAATTACACTTCCGGCATGGCGTACACCATGAATAAATTCCACTTTTTGTACGGTGAAGTGGAATGGCGCGTCAAAGTTGCCGGCGGCAAGGGTATCATATCCAGCGCCTTTTTATTCAGTCCCATGTGTACACCGGTAACTACGAACTGTAAAGGCCACTGGCCACCTTCCGCCACGGTCATCGGTGTCGACGGAAACGACACATTCGCCGGTGAAGTCAAGGCCGTCTACTTGAATGATAACAAATCAGTGGTGGCAACTCAGAAACATTACACAAGGTCAGCACATAAAGATCATGATGTTTGATGGTCAGCACATAACGTAAATGAACCTCAAGAGGATATTGTCGTTTTAGTTTTGACTGTTTTTTTATGGAGAATAAAAACAAAACTGTTTATTCTGCCGAAGGTTGGCCGAACCGAACTGCGCGACCAAGAAATTTATTATAGTACATAACTGAGTTATATACTACAATAAATTTTTCTTGGTCGCGCAGTTCGATTCAGCCAACTCCAATTTTGCTTTGATTAATTAGTTTTATAAGTGCCTATCATGAAATTAAAATACTTCCTTTAAAAAATTGTACTTAAATTTATAAAACTGTACTAAACATACGTGTTATAATCGTACGTTCGTACGCTGACTTTTGAAATAATTATTGTGCGGTTTCATTGCTCACCCCTATGTTCGGTTATTTAACTATATAGTAGTATTGTGAACACGTTTGTATGTACATAGTTCGAGCGACCTGGCTCAGGAGTTCCATGTTTATAAAATGGTCTGGTCGGAAACCTATCTCGGGTTCTTTTTCGACGGCCGGGAAATCCTCAACACCACCGAGCCCAACGAGATCCCCTCGATCAGCATGCAGCTGGTGATGAAACTGGCCGTAGGCGGACCCTTCCTGTCCGCTTCCCACCCCGACGCCAGCACCGTTTTCCCGGCTCACTTCTCCATTGATTATGTCGTCGTGCGACAATACCCTAACCAAACATCCTCACTGACCCAGACGCAACAGCAGGGTGGCGATACATCGATCTTGGCGCCGGTTCTCGGTTCGGTCATCACGGTGGTGGTATTGCTCGCATGTGGTGCCGGGATCTGCGTGACGGCGTGGGTGCGTAAACGACGCCGGTTATATGTGGGCAGTATGCGTAAAGGCAGCAGTTCCACGGATCGCAGTACACTGGCCGGGTCGGAGGTTAACCTGGCGTATATACGCACGTGCAGTGGAGAAGTTGCCACGGCGCTGATTAATTATGTGCGACTGCTGGAGGTTCCCTTAGCTAACATCCAAATGAGTAAGCAAAATCAGTTCCGCAAAATCAACTGCTTGTAGTTGTACGGATGAGCATCAAAACGCTGGAATCGTAGGCTGAACCAATATCAGCACGATACCGCTGATTTATTCAAATAGTTAAAATAGTTATGCGCATATAGATAATAATTTTTAAAATATGCATGCAGGTATTCTATTCATCGTCACTATTTATCCAGTTACATGTACTATAATACTGTATAACGATCAGATTGCATTATTACTGCAAGTTGGCGATAAATGGATGGCATATAAAATTAATATCGGCATGCAGCACTTTTTTTGCATATTAGCGCTATCAACCAAATTCTATTCATCTAGTCGTTGATGCTGTATGTTCACTGTTCAGTATCCTCTCTTTATTCACCTGTGGTACATCGCATTGTTACAGTACATAATCAAAAAACATCACAATTTTACAACATTAAAACTTCGTTTAACTTTTCTGCTCCTTCCATTGTTCCCAAAACTGAGGCCGCGTTCCCCCGCTGTATCGCCAACGACAGTCGTTGACGTAGAAATTCATGGGAACGCTTCTCCCCTGTCTGCTGTTCTAGTCGTTTGCCCAATTCTTTGATAATGGCGATGGCGGCCGGTCCCCAAGGGCCCATTGTTTCAAAAGCTATCGGAGCAAAGATATACCTGCCGAACAAGTACGCATACAGCTGCGCCTTTTTTTCTTCCGCTTCCAACGCAGCTGCGCCTGCGTTTGACGCCGTAGATTTAATGTGGGAAGGCGCAACAGTATCCACGCAAGTGACATCCCACGCTAAACACATCCCTCTCTGCCAGGCAAGGTTGTGCAGCCGTCAGGGCGTCGTTCGGAAGTATGTGACGCTCCGCGGGGCTCTAACTTCGCAGGGATTCCAGCTGACACTAAAGAGCGGCACACGATGCTGTTCAGTTCGCCATGTCGCGGGTGTCTACCTGCGGAAAATGCGCACGAAAGACCGTGGTGTCCGTACTTATCAACGTGCTTATGACACTTCAAACATTCGTGGGGTTCGCATATCGCCACTCCCAATCTCAGGCCAACTGAGATTTTAAGAGTGTCATCGTCCACGAGGTTGCCAATATGAGCGGAGGGCAATGCGTTTAACCAGATGCCAGCTTCTGGTTTAGACTGAGCAAGAAGGCGGGCTTTGTTAAGGTCATCATTGCGGAAAACATCTAGCAGCGTGGACAACGACACGTTACACAAAGGCAAGTCCCATGTCTTCTGCTGCTTGCGGAAGTTCGCTTCCGGTATTTCAGGTAGACGAGCGTTCTTTTTCCACAGCTCAAGTGCGCCTGTAATTTCAACCGCCGCATGGCCAGGAAGCAGTAAAGCCACCAATTCGGAAACGGAGTGAATCGAATTGGTGGCTGTTCAGTATTGTATTGTTCTACTGTAGTCTTGTGTTATAGGGCATAAGTAATAAATACGTACACAGACCATAATAGAAGTTGTTTTGCAGGCAATGTTATTTTGGGTAAAGGCGAATTCGGTGTTGTGCGGAAGGGCTTAGCACGCTTGAATTGTTCGTATGTATTTAATCCTGTTGAAGTGGCCATCAAAATGGTGCGAGATAAAAATAATCCTGATCATACACGCCAACTAGTGGAGGAAATTAAAATGATGTCCAAAGCAGCCCGCCATCTAAATATATGCAATCTACTGGGAATTGTATTGAAAGGTATCATTCCTCATCCGTTGCGTGCATTCAGATTCATGGTTAACTACAAGGCACTGAAGGCAGACACCAATTTTTGTAGGAGATATTCTATTGTTGCTGGAGTTTTCCAGATATGGTTCGCTATTGCAGTATTTGAAGGACCATCGCGACAGGTTCTATAATCATACCAGTCCCGACGGTGACCTTCTCTTTTATGATGAGAAATACGCCGACAGTTTAGAACGTGCAGTAGATGCCGAAGCCGTCAACGGTAGCGGCGACAGTAAAATATACGATGGGCGGATCCTTGCAACACGGGATTTAATCAACTTCGCATTCCAAATCAGTCGCGGGATGGAATACCTGGGAACACGTTCGATTATCCACAGGGATCTGGCTGCTCGTAACGTCCTGGTTTGCGATGGACGAGTGATTAAGATCTCCGATTTCGGGATGTCCAAGCAGATGGCTGAATACATCCTACTCGATCATCAAGTATGTGTTAGTGCGCGCCAAGTACATATAGGGATTAATTTGGCAATTTATTTTGGCCGCTTACGTTACTGAAGCGATGATGCTAGAGCACCTTCAGTTCAGCGGCTAGTTAAGTAGGTTGGAAAAACACAAAGGTTACCGATGCAGTTACAACTGCGATTAACGGAATCAGGAAAGCATCGGATCACAAGCCCAATTTATTTGACATTTCCGATTGACCCTTATGTATGAACGAAAGAAACAGATATAAAGTTAAAACTAATAAAAAACAAGATGGCTAGATTCCGATAAATTTGCTGACATAATACCCGTACGCGTATGGCGAGCTGACCAGAACAACCTACTCATCCGCACAGTTTTCCCATCCCCATTTTTTCCCCCATTTCCCGTTTATCCTTACTAAAAATGGTATGGATGGGAAAATGATGCTTAAAATATGGAAACAGATTATGGGGAAAACGAAGAAATTGGCGGAAATGGGAAATTTAGAAAATAGGATAGAGATAATGATTTAATGTACATTTTTACAACCATTTTTAAAAAAAATTCAGATTCAAAATTCATAAAACCATCGACACCCTCACGCCGTCGCACGAGATCGTGATAACTTCTAAATGGTAGGATCGAAAAAAGTTCGGGAGAAACAACGGTAAATTCACGCTTCGCGTGGATAGCTGACTGCTAATGACATTTCCCGTAACCCGGCGACAAGAAAGTCATTGGTTGTATGTCTTATTTTTTTTTTTTGAAAAGTGAATCGCTGAAATGGAGATGGAAGAAAATGAGTCTGAACGAAAAATAATGGAACAGAAATGGGTTGGAAAAATTGTAAAAAATTGGGGTATGAATGGGATCTGGAAAAATCAAAAAGAGGCAACCTTTAGAACGCAGTCACAATTTGGTAAACCAATTAAACAGCATTACTTCCCGCTATAGCTATCATTACATACTGCTGTAACGCAAATATCTTAATAATTACTTTCTGGTGGCATTGGCTACATAATGTAAATGCGGTGTTGCGTGCTCTGAATATGTGCAGATGGATCATTCCAAATGTAAAAAGGGGAATATTTTACTTAGGCTGTTTTACCGGTTCGCTGGATGGCACCCGAATCCATAACCGACAAGATTTTTTCGGCAAGATCGGATGTCTGGTCTTTTGGTGTGGTAGTCTGGGAGCTGTTCACGCTAGGAGAACTTCCTTACGGTAATACCCGCATGGACATTGCCGAAGTGGTGGAGCATCTCACGGCGCTGCGCCATGGCAGTCGTCTAGAACGACCCGCTATTTGCCCAACACCAGTGTACGTTTCTCCCAATGCGTTTATCCACGTGACCAGTATTACCGTGTAAATTACAAGAATAAAAAAGATCATTAGTAAATATGTACTCCACAAACGGCTGCTCTTCCAGATACGCGTTAATGCAAGAGTGCTGGCACCTTGATCCCGGACAGCGGCCGGATTTCGCACAGTTAACGCATGAGCTGGGCGATTTCATTGGGGACGATTCCGTGTCACCGTATTTGTGTCTGGATATGTGTTACAACCAGTTTAACTATGAGCACCGAGATTTACTGGATGGAATGGCCAAAGAACCCGAAAATACTAGCACTACCAGTTAATGTTGTTTTTTTTCTCGTATATTCCTATGTGTTTATTTATTAAAAAGCCTGCTAAACCGTTGTTATTGCTGCAAACAGGCAACCGCAGTAGAAAGGCCGATATAAAAATTGTTATGCGGTTAAGTTGACCTTTGAAAAACGTTTCGCGTGCAAGACGGCGAAAACCGACACCAGTATGCACCAAAAATGAGAGTTAAATATTATGTTTTACTAAGTTTACCATTATAATTATTTAACCGTGGACCGTAATAAAATTTCAACAATAATGGGACTTTAAAATCTAACTGTTCATCTGCAGTAATCGAGATGGTTTCCGCCCCGATATAATTGTGCTAGCAGAAGAAAGCTGCGCTAGACGATGGCATACCACAAGTCACAAGAGCGAATCATCGACGCCGAGTCTGATGAGAGTGTCACAAAATAGAGAGGCATATAATTATGATCTGCGTCGGCATACGTCAGTCACTCTTCGGTTTGCTGGGACAATATATCCCGCTGTTCTAATCATTATACACCGGCTTGATTCCAATCTCAATTAATTCTTTACGAAGTCGGTGCGTTTTTATAGCGTTCGGTAGGGCAGTCCATTGATTTTTGCGTGCATTCTGACTTGGTTTCGTCTCGGTCCGGAAATTCAGAAAAGCCTTCCACACACCGCTATTTAATTAAGTTCCATGTACTGCTTCGATAAAGTGAACAGCATGCGCTGGGGTTCCTCAGCAATTCTCAACATTGCGTGTTGGTATGCGCGCCGTATAAAGGATATCTTTCTGCGTCAGCTCGTCTACTTGCAAATTCACGGAACAATAATATCCGTAATGTACTGCTGTTTCAAGCTTCTCGTATTCAATCTTACGCTTTCTCTACAGCACGGTTTTTCACACTTGATACATTGATAAACATTTCGAAACATGGGTGTTCATGACGCTAATCAGACCGACATTAGCAGCCGCACCTTGAACACAACGTTAGCATGCTTGGGGAATGTTACTGCGGTGTCTGACGCGCAGTTGCTTGGGTGGTACATTCTCTCTATGGTGTTCTCGATTACCGGTGCCGTACTTTGTTGGTTATTAATCCAAGTGATCCGGCACCGTTGGACGATGACAACCGATACCGCTGTTAAGCGCAACGGCACCAAGCTGTTAGTGCTGCACATGGCCGCCGTGGAGATTCTCATGTGCGGAGCCAACCTGCCCATGAACTACACGCAGACCTACTTTGCCAGTTACCCGGTGGGAACCAACAAGCTAATGCTTTCAATGTTTGGTGCTATTTTTTAATTATTCTTAATTCTACGCCGTCTAGCATAAAGTGCCGGTGTACAGTTACGGTTACTGACATCAAAATTTCAAAGAATTTTTCAATAGAGTTCTTACAAAACCTGTTGCAAAATTGCAAACGATTGCTGCCTGATATATCCTTTGGAAATAGTGAAAGAAACATTGACATACATTTTAAAAATTAATAGTCTAAATATAATCAAAATTAAAGCGACCATCTCAAAGTAAAGCACGCGGCTATCGTGACCTTTTTACTTTACAGTCATCGGTTCTGTTGTGCACCTTTCTGCAACTCCCGTTCGGGATCACCCGCACCCTGGCCAACTGGACCGATTTCATCCTATCCGTAAACCGCTTATCCGCCATCGCTTTCCCTAATTTCTACCGGAAACGAATAACAAACCACAGCCTGAACGTGGTCTCGCTGGTCATCGTGTGGCTAATATCCACCTCCATCTTCATTCCATTCGCTTTTGGATGGGGCGCGCGTTTTCAGACTATGCCGCCACTATACGCCTGCGGCGTGCAGATCCTGGACGGTAACAGTATCGCCATAAAACTACACGTTTTTCTGACCACGAATATACCGCTGGGATTGACAGCGGCCTCTTATTTGGTTATGCTGATGCACGTCATGTACCGTCGCCTCGTGATGGGGCGTGCGCAACGTCTGCGTACGCGCAATCGCGCCGTGAAACTCTCATTAACGCTCTGCTTATCCGCTGTCTTGAGAAGCGTCTGTTACTTTCCCCATACAGTTATTTCTGCATATAACCGGGCACTCTTTGATGACCATCCCATGCTTGTGGCCTGGCTACGCACCGCATTTGCATTTGGCTACGCCGGAAATCCCGTAAGTAATTTTTCTGTATCTAATAATTCTTGGTAAAACCGTCAGGATGAGTGGTGCGTCTACTACTCCCGGCCAAAAAAGGCCCATCGCAGTTCTGCTCGCTCGATTGTTTTGTACGTTTCGACCCTATGAATTCGGAGTTTCGGATTATAATGAATTTCGAATCCGCAATTTCGGCCGAACGCTTTTCGCCCAGACTGCGTAACTGTAGCCGAACGCTTTTGGAATGTACTGAAGTACGGTATGAAGAGTTTCTATATTTAGGTGATTTTCTTCACAGTTCATCAGGAATACCGTGCCGCTTTAAGCCAATGGTGGGCAATTTTCGTGCATAAAGCGTGGAAGAAACCGACGGCTGTTTATCCTGTTATGATGGAGCTTTCGCACAGATCCAAGGATTTGGCAGCTGAGTCGAGCTTTAAACAAGGAATGGATGTGGGCAACAGCGCACAAGGCTCCATAAGTGTCAGCAGCAAATTTCGATGAGCCATGAACAACTACTGCTGATGAATTAAGGCTATACTAACAATTCCCCATTAAAACCCGCGCACAATTTATGTAGTATTGCTTTTGTTTTAGCTCTGACCTTTTACAGCTGTGTATTTGGTTATATAACAGCAATCTTTCCGCTCCAACTGGTTGTCAGATTAAGGCTTCAGGTAAAATTAACAGTGATTCTTCATTTACTGACTCTACAATTCATGCAGCGAAAGCTCCAAAATTCGCACTTGACTCCCGTATTTGCAATTCTTTCTATGTAGATACATAAAATGATTAGAATATACATCAGTAGAGAAAGCTGCGCATCGTTGAATTGTATATCAGTTGGTAAGACTGGTTTTCTGCCATTCCGCTCGGTTGGTGCTGTCCTTTCGATTCCATTTCGTGTAGAACAACTAAGTAGCTTACCAATAATCCAATTATCTAGTAACCATCAAACGTGATGAAATTCGGTAAAATTAGAGACCATCGCGATCATTTTAAGTTGCTTTGGAGGCACTATCTACGCATACTGTGTGCACTAACCGTCCTAAAGTACGTCTTACGCAGCATTACGCTTTAACAGTCATATTACATATTATAATTAGTCATATAACATATTAAATTCATTAATCATTTAACAGTCATAATACATATTACATACATATTATAATTAGTGAGATGATGAGTTACTAGCCCACGACTGTGGTTAGCGTTTCTTAACTTTATCGACCTTTAGTAAAATGACAGTTGGAAACTTACCGACAGGATTAAATCACTGTTTAATGCCAGCAAATACCAAGCGGTGAAATGAACGGGATTATCTCGCAGGCGTCGCACCGTCTTGGTGATATCTTGATACAGAAACTGACTCTTGCAGTCCAAGGTTTCCGCAAGATTGTTCAGTAAACAAACAATTGAGTGAGCCTGTTAAACGGTGAGGAATTCGTAAACAGAAACCGTGTTCTTACGGTATACAGAAAGTCGAATTACCCACATAATTAGGCCTTACGATTTGTTGAAATTGAATATATAGAAAGTCTTTGCTGCAAATTTGGTTTATTCGGGGATACACTGTAATTTTCAGGTTTACGGTCGGTTAACTGAATTTACCTTTGCATACATGTAATGAGCAGCAACTAGTTGCTGGGCTAGGGTAATGAAACTTCCCATAGCGCAGACCGTGAGGAATAACTTATCCGGTACGGTATTCAAAAACAGAATTCCAAACCGTGGCGGCGCAATGCCCATAACGGCGCTAATTAGGAGAACCGCGACCGCCATATTGGAAGCAAGTGAAACCAGATTGAACGGGGCGAATACTTCGTCAAGTTGGGCCACCAGATTCGACAGGGTCAGATGTCGCATACGACAGCTGTGTATTTCCTCTACCAGCTGTTCATAGGACAAACAGGCACCGGAATACGCATCAACGTTTGAGGCGATATTGTTTTTAACATCATCAAACGCGACGCCCAGTGTCAATGCAAAGAATGAGAACAATGTGGAGAACCAGGAAAAAACAAAGATCGTCATCTTCATTACAAAGAACTGTGGAACCAGCATGTACGGTGCTCGGTAATGCTTGTCAAAAATCGTTATTTTTGTGTGCCAGAGTTCCGTGGAGCGACTGTAGCTAGCATAGAGAATAAACAGAAAGGCCCCCAAAAATAATAAAATTTGTGCGATATAGATGTACTGTGGACGACGAGAGGACAGCGGATGCCGGTTGAGATACCGGGTCATGGGGTCTTTTACCGCTACCAATATTTTACAGTCATAACTAAGCTCCGCTACGCAGAAAAGACAGGATACAACAGGGATAATGAATATGAGAGCTACGATGGATGTTTCCATATACAGCGTTGAGTTTGCCAGGGCATCAAGATAGGTTACAATGTTAGCGAGCAAACCAGTTAGAAGGATTAGCGACATTGTAAACAGAACGAGGAGAGATCCTGGCGTCACACGCAAACCGTCTTTTGTCATTCTCCATGGATTCATCCCTAAGACCTGCATTGTGCGCAGGAAGTAGTTGTAATACATTTCAAAGGAACCGATTTCGAGCATATCTGCTTGGTACGGTACGAATCAAATGCGGTGAAGAGCTACACTGCTTGACCAAAAAAACGTTTGATGCGCGTTTAAGTTTCGGCTGCATGCTCATATAGCACTCGAACACGCACGAAATCTCCAGTTACAGTTGTCACTTACGAATCAAAATGCTTTGTTTTTCAGTTACGGCCCGATACTAACCAGCTGTTCCTAAATTGACACTGAATGACAGTAACGACAAAAAAGAAGTTGCGTACGCCAATCCTTAGCCTATTTGATAGAACCCGCAAAGCACTATCAAGCATCAGTGGTCATAAATGACTCACAATCTAGCTGAAGAAAGGTCAATGACAATTTACTGCAGCGTACGATAGGGCCATAAGAAACGTGGCGTTTCAAGCCTGAATGTCAGTTTATTTCCTTCCGATCAGCTTATCAACTTGTTATCAATCAACTTATTTCAATCAAAGATCAACTTTTCAACTTGTTTCTCGGTAATGTCAGCTCTCTTGCAGTAAAAAGAAGTTTCCAAACCAACCTCATCATAGACACACGTAGCACTTTCGTATCAAAAAATATTTACAGATAGATCAGAAAATAATGATAAATCAGTCCGTTGTGGAATGGGGAATAGGCGAATAGACACTATTACTAACTGCTGTTTTCAGACAACTGTCAACCATGTTACCACTAACTACGTTGCCATCGTATTGATAAAATCGACCGAAGCGAAGCGAAGGCTCTCTATGTTCAAGAAAACGGGACTTTAGTCGGTCACGTCGGTCACTTCTTGATGTTTTAAATAACTTCACAAAAGGGAAATTATTTATTAAGACCTATATTTATTGAACCCAAAAAAATAATAAGTGAAAATGGGAAGTTTAAAAAAAGATAAACCTCCTAAAGTGTTTATTTAATTTTGTTTACCGCTTCGCTTTGGTCTTTCGGTGCTAGCCAACAACGATGCACTTTCCTAGTAATTATACATCTAGATATATCGATATATCTAGAGTAAACCGAAATAAATGCTCTCAAAGCTAATGTATCAGATTAGCTTAGCCGAGCTACGGTAGTTGCCTTCTTTGTGAGCAAGGCTCATCAGCGCCGACGTACCCGGTATAACCCGATAAATAATATCAGCAAATGGATTCGACCGGTATCTGTATCCCTGTTGTTCTGTCGGCATGCACAGTCGTAGACTTTTAATATTGAAACTTGACACAAATGACGCATGTTCGTAATACGGTGCCCAAACTGTTTGCGCTTTACCGCATACACTAACAATCAGGGTGAGTGATTATTCTAATTTGCTTGACTGAGAATAAGCACGGTACATCTTTTATTAACAAAGAGCGAAAAAATCTTACTCATTGAAACGAACCTCACGAGAATTGCATGATGTGGCTCGACAGCATGTTAGCAAGCACTATGACCAGAGAGAATTGCAAATTTACGTCGAGGCCCACTCCAGGGAGTTATAAAAACTGCAAAAATAGGTATGCGTAGTACGAAGGATGACCTGCATTATTTTCCCTCTTTTAGTTTTCTCTTAGTATCAGTTGGGAGAGAGAAGAGGATAAACAACTGCTTGCTCGTTTTGCAGTTACCATTATGTCTCTGCACCATTGCCCCATTTTTACTTATTGAATACGCGTAATAAGGAGCCAATACTATCGTTTTTTCTTGTTTAAGAAAATTGCAATGACGTCTTAGAATGTATTATTGCGCAGGAAATTCTTAAAATACTACTAACTGCTTTAGGGTTTTGGAATCGGCCGTTGAGCAGGCTGCAGGAATTTCTGCAGTCGGTTCTCGACTATGTCGTGACGTCTGAATCTTCCTTCCAAGGACGATACAGACGGCACTGGAAGGACGATACAGACGGCACAACGGATTCGAGAACTCTTTTCACCGAAGACTCTTCTACGAGAGCTAATCTACTACAAGAGCTCCTCACGTCACAACCCCAGCGGCAACCCACGGGGTTATACAGATAGGTAGTCATTCTAATAGCTGCAGTGCTACAGTGGTGAGACTCGTTGTAAGTGCTACAGAAATTTTGAATTAACCGAATGTAAAATTGTTACAATTAAGACTTGGTATTTTGTGTAAGTGATTAAGTTGGCGTGATGTACCCTTACACTTACAATAAGAGTTTTCACCTGAAGCGACTCGGCATTATAATAATTATTGTAATATTTTGAAAACCACACGTACAGTACTGAGTACAGTACTGAATTGCGCTGACCTTGTAAGCTCGTACAACTACAGTAAGACGTGTTAATTCACTAATATAATAATTATTATGCATTTAGTACAGAAACATTTAAAAGCGTATTTGTTGACTGTGTACAACAATCGTACACTATGTGACAGAAATACAACCGCAAAATGTTTTAATGTAGTACGCGTTTGCGTTTCTGTAATTGATGTGCAATGGAATGAAATTATTTTGGAGTTAACACCCACACCTTATATCGCCATATCGATATATTTATATACAACTTGCGGATAGTGTGCGCTAGCTTTAAATTTAAGTGCGTTTAAGTAGTAATATTAATTATTATTTTGGTTGACTGTCAATCAATGGCTTTGTAAATTTTTCAGAATTTATTTAGTGGACAATTAACTGACTGGTTTCCACAGAATATTTTAAAGGATGGTCGCGTCAGCTTATTTAACTTTATCAAGCCTCAGTTGTATGTACCATATTGTAGCCTCAAATTGAACAAAGCTCTGTTTGAATGGATTACCGTACTGTGCAAACTGAATCTTGTCTCTGACAGTGTCATCTGATTAATTAAATACCAGGGATTTAAACGTGGCCGTTTTCGAAAGAACTAGCCGAAAAAAGCAATAGAGAAGTACAGCTGTGTTTTTGTAAATAGCGGTAAATCGGTAATGGCAGGAATTTCGATAGTAATAAAGACTAAAGATTGCACTGAAAAAAATATTTCCGAAGCTGCTCTGCATTCGCACAAGGAGCTTTCTTTGATACTTGTTTCAAACAAATCATGACATTCTCTTCTGGCATTACAATAATAAAATCCGTATACGGAAACGGTAACAGTTAGCAGTTATATCATTTCCGTGGAACCAGAGATATGTGTAACTGTGAATGTATAATTTCACTGGCGCTTTCTTTTGACTGGGCCCTGGCAAACGCTTTTGGTGTGTAACGGTAACAATAATCAGTCGAGATCTGCTTTGTTTTTATCACAACCGGTTAACTGTTCATACAATTTAGAAAACACCATAAAACTATGACAAATAAATCTCGCTCAGTTCATCAGCTCTTTCCATAGTGCCCATCACTGACGCTGCATTCCCCAGTTGTATTTCTCTTGACAGACGCTGTCCGCGGCTGTCGTACAAACTGTCGCAGTAATCAGTTTATATCTAGAGTAGGTTTATGCACAGGATCAGTTTACGGGAACTTCGTTGTACAGTTGCATGGGAGCATGTAATGGCGATCATCTTTAGAATTCATCTCATACAGCACCAAAACATACGTAATGAGAATGCCGGACACCTGAAAGGGAATAACCACCTGATATTGTTATTTCCGCCGCGCCATTCCGCAATTTTTGAAAGTCGAAACCGTTACCGACAGAATTAGCTCAGTGTTCAGTGTGAAGATATTTCCAGCTGTGAACACAACAGGACAATCGTGTATACGGCGCATTGTTCTGTTTATCAGCACTTCTAGCCCATCGATTTTGCTGCCAAGCTCTTCCGACATGGTCCTTAGAATCACCACAACCGAATGTGCCTACAAAAAAGTGCATTCGTAATAGACAGTACCAGTCACCAAGTCCAATAAAAAAAGCTTTATTTTCCCTTGAAGAAGGTTCTGCTTACCTGCGTGTGCGTATAAGCCGCTGCAGTAATTCTTTGAATCAGTAAGAACAAATTAGCCAACGCCATGAGTGAGCAGAGCAATAGATCAGTTGTATTGTTGGTGAACATGTATCCAATTTTTGACGGCGTCACACCGATCACTATATCAACCAGGATAACTACTAGAAGGACCTCCAAAATCAAGCTGACGAGACTGGAGGGGGCATAAATGGTATCCAGACGCCGAACAATGTCCGACAACGCCAGATGTTCATGTCGACCTTTAGTAATTCCCGCTGTCAGTTCCTGGAAATCAATTCTATCGGTTTTGTACATTCGATAATGCGCTTCATATTCGTATCCAATCTGCCTGAAGGCTGAGCCTAAGGTTACAGCGAGAATGACAAACGACCCCGAAAACGCTAAAGCCACAGCACTGATCCCGTGCAACAGGGCAGTTTGGAGAACGAGTCCGTATACGGAGTAAAATTCAAAGCCGAAAATGACTTCTTTTTGATACCAAACATTCTGATACCGCTGTACCGTGATGTACGTTAATATAACGAGGAATCCATTAAAGCAGACAGTATACCATACACAGCAGCATCTCAGCGTGCGCACAACAAGCGGCACACTTTCGACTCGTCGGCGCAGTTCATCCATGATAGCCGGCAAATGCTTGCTACGCAAAGAAAACACAGATCCGTAGATAGTGACTAGGACTTCGGTTAGAATAAACAAACCAGCTACAAGGGCCAGCGGAATTTTCGGTTCGTCGGTGGTATTCCAAGTGTGCGAGTACATCAGAAGGTCTGCAGTTAGGGCGCATAGCGACAGTGTGACCAAGAAAATTCTGGAGACAATCGAATATGGCAGCAGTTTTGTTCCGGCATTAGTTTCCTGCCAAGGACACATTCCGTATACACGTAAGCACTGCAAAAAGAAATGTGAACATTTAGCAAACATTTTGCAAATTACTACTAGAGAACAATCATTTTAAGTAACGTTGAACCGCGTTTGTTTGCAGATTTTTGCGTCGGCTGAACCGAAGTCTCAGATGAGCGTCGGTGGCTAACGCTACTACATTTTATATTAGCTGATTGGTCGACGTCTTTTCAAGTCCACGTCTCTACAAAAGTCATATGATTGGACAAAGTGAGCGCGTACACAGCTGGCCGGAGTGTGTACATGTCGTTTAATGCAACATTAGATCATCAATAGATCGCGTTTCTGACGTGGACTGGGCTTGGAGTTTGTTGGTAATGACACCGTCATGCAGAATACTTCCAGATATCCCTCTGAATGCATACACTTCAACAATTGCACTGTTCAAATTTCTCAGCCGGTTAGAAATTTCACTGCATTTGGTTACTCGTTTTGCTTGTACTTTGTATAAATTTGTGGCCGTAGGAAGTGAAATACAAAGAAATCTCCATCACGCATGTTAATATTGCGTGCGATCAATCATAAGCAGTGGAACTGGAGTGCAGTTTGGAGTTAACACCGACGGGCAACGCCCGATAAAATAGCGTTTCTGGTCAGATGAGGGGTGTGACAACCCACAATAAAAGTCCTAAAGTAAAGTATAAACTAATTTCTGGTGACAACCCTTCTAAAACTAATTTTGATTCTCGGTTTTGAATGATTAATTAAAAGTCCCCAGTATCCCTCCATATGCCTATTAGAACGGCGTTTCCGTCCGATTTTAATCTAAAATGCGATAACAGTTGCTTTACGTGTGACAACTGACAAGGTTTATTTTAAAATGGCTCTTACAACTCTGCCTTTTACACAAGTAAAACGAATGGCGCACTTATTGAATATACTGCCTACCGGAACTACGGCAAGCAAAATTTTTGCAGCACTTACTTAGTACGTACCTGCAACGCTGAAAGATGTTGCTGCAAGGTACGATACCATCGCCGCCTTCCCGATTCAGTGATTATAGTCTTAAACGATCAGATCTATTTTGATACTGTTTGCTGGCTACTGGCCACTGGGAACGTGAAAACGCTGTGTCTCTGATTTTGCGTTCAAGTTACCCTTTGCATTCCCAGGTAAAGCGTGGCTGTTATTGCCACACTGGCGTTTGTGGCACTGGGTAAACTTTGCACTAAGTAGCGGCAAACTGATATAAAACAAGCCGGTCACAAACGTGGCGCTTAATACAGAAGCCGCAAACTCTCAGACTTTTACATTAAACCTTTTCTACTTTATTACTGATACTTCGCGCTTTTCCGCGCGCCACAAATTGCCGAAGATGTTGCGGATTCTCTGTGCGGTAGCTTTTCTCTGCGGAGCCGTGTATTCTCAGCTGACGATGCCGGGTCTAACCGGACTAAATTTTGGAGAAAATTGTGCGACAGAAGATCGGTTAGCGTTCTTCCAGTGCTCCGCGGAAATTCAGATGCAAAATATGACCAAGGCTCAAGTATTCCAACAGACCGTCCAAATCTTTCAGACCGGCATGTTCACTGAAGAGCAGGCGAAGGAGATTGCCGATGCTTTTTGCAGGTACGCAAAGATTATATGGATGAACATAGAGTAGGCTTTGGATACCAATATTTTCAAGCTTCAGGTTAAATTATTGCTGTATGATTTTGATTCTTTCGTAATCGTATTGACATCGACATTTGTAAATCACGACCTAATAATGCGGATGTATGTACACTGTGTAATACGTGTGTCGTCGCAAGTACACTGCACGTTGTATGCACATATTGCAAGTTAACCTGTTCTCAGAACATCAAAACTTTAGAATTATTGGTTTTTGGATTATTTACAAATTTTAATTGCTTGTCTTACATCACATCACCATGCACTGATGATTGACCGTACTTTTTTGTTGTAGCCTTGCAAACGCTTCGAGCGCATGCTTGCGTGCAGCTCGCTGTGGCTCAGGTCCGGTGATAATACCGCCTTCCCAACTGGATGAAAATGTGCTGCAGATGTGTTCTTCTCCCAATCGCTACAAGCACTTTACAGAGATTGCGCGTTGCAATAAACGACTTTTCATTGACTTCGCCTTCGTGAGTGATCCTCAGCTGGCAAACATTCATGTCATAATGTCCAACATTACGATGACTTCTACGAGTAACGACACGCCAAGCTTGCTTCCTCAACGCTTCCTCACCATCATATGCCGGTATGCTTCTCAACTGAAGGGATGTTCCCACATTTTTATAACAATTTCATCGCACGCTATTTTTGGTTTGGTAATACAGCTTGAATGCGGAAAATCCGTATAAGCAAACTGTTAATGTCGCTCTCTAGCAGGCTCTTTAAATGGCATTGTCCTTGCGCTTTATCCTATATAAATATTTTGCTAAAATACCGTATTGTTTTTTGCAGATTGTTCAACCGCTTAAGAGAGTTAGTTCCTTCGGAGAGGGTTACTGCTACTTGCGGTGCCGATGCCCAGACGGCTTTCACCGAATTAACTGGCCACATTCGCAAGACGTTTCAGTGCCAGAGTCGATAGCGGATAAAACTACTAAGATATGAAATAATTATGCAAGCGCAAGCAGGCCGAATTACAGCTGTTCTTTAAATGTCAAACTTAAAAATGCGCTTTTTGCGCCTTCATGCGAAGTGCTGACGATCTGCTTCATTTTATTTCTATCAATCTATAGCTCGCGTGAAGGTCACAGTATCCACTAAATCAACTTTATTTTTTGCGTGTTGTTTCATGCAAGACAGAATGAATTCGCGTTGACCAAGCAAAAGCAAATCCACAATGTGATTTCTGGTATACCGACTTTAGGTTGGAACTTTTTGAATCGAATTTTCTTCTCGGTTATGTGTTAGTTATTAAAACTTTAAAAGCCTGAAGCAGTTTTCTATACGGCTATCACGAAAGTGTTCGCCACGCTAAAATCTATGAATTCTGTCCAGTTGCTTTTTAATTTTTAGAAAGCAATAGCACATGTTCGTGGTTGTTGAATTTGAATATGTTGACTCAGCAGAATTTGCGCAGCAATGCAGACATATTTTCCTGCGTGGTACGATACCATCGTCGCCTTCCTGAGTTGATGATTATAATCTTAAACGATAAGATCTATTCTCCTTTTGGTCGCTGAATTTCTGGCGACTGGGATGGGGAACACGCTGCGTGCGAATGTTGCTTTCATGTTACTCACTGCATTTCCAGGTAAAGAGTGTAAAGTTCGCCCAATTTTATGCCAAGGAACTACCCATGTGGTTAACACTTAACACAGCACTGAAGTCGCAACAAACCGAATACAACAAGCCACTAAAGCCAGTCACAAAGCGGCAATACCGTATGCTATAAAAGCCTTAAACACTTCAGCTTTCACATTGACAGCTTAGGTATGTTAATTTAATATTAGCCCGGGTGTGCCACAACTTTTTAAAAATGTTGCGGGTTCTTTGTGCGATTGCTTTGCTCTGCGGAGCCGTGTATCCTCAGCTGACGATCCTGGGCCTGCCATGGCTATCCCAAGCGTTTGGGCCGAATTGTACGGATGACGATCAGATGGCGCTCTTTCGATGCTCCACGGATCTTTATACGGATCTTCATATGCAAAATCAGACCATGCAGAACCCGGAAGTCCAAAAAGCCGTAGAAACCGTCATAAGCGGCAATATCACTATCACCGAAGAGCAAGCAAAGTTCATTGTTGATGCTCATTGCCGGTACGCTCAGATTATGCAGATTGCAGATGCAATTTAGAGTAGCTTTTCAGGTTTAAGGTTTAAGCTTTAGAAAATGACAATAAGTAATCTTTACGTGAGTGACACCGAAAACGAAATACTAACTGCCCGTAGGTTACATGTTAAACCATTGTTAGAAATACAATTTTGATTCTTTCGGGATCGTAATACTCGTAATGCCGAAATTTCTAGGTGACGCCATAGTAATGATGATGCACAATCCAGTTGCTTTGCCGCAATTACAGTTCGCTTTGAATATACTGGTATGTTAATTTACGCTTATAACTTGGAATCTGGTTTTTTGAGATTGTCCAGAGGTTTTACTCGTAACTGGCTGCTTGGCATCGAGTTTGTAACATGCACTGAAGACGGTGATTGATCATTGACCAAACGAAGTCTTTTTGTTGTAGTCTTCTAAACGGTTCAAGCGCATGCTTTCGTGCTGCTCCCGATCGCTGCGTCTTAAGTCCGTCGATGACGTGGTCGTTCCAGCTGAACGAGAAAGTGCTGAAATTGTGTTCTACTTCCAATCGCTACAAGCTCTTCACCGAGAGTGTGCGTTGCAATAAGAAACTGGATATTTTCAGCATCATCGCGAGTGATCCTCAGCTGCCACTTATTGGTGCAGAAATCTCCAGTCTTATGATGCCATCTACGAGTATCGAGGACATCTCAAACTCGTTCCCTCAACGCTTCACCACCGTCATTTGCCGGTATAGTCCTTAACTGAGTTCCATATTATTTTTTTATCAACAAATCTAAGTTTATAAATAATTTAATCACATGCTGTTTTCGGTTTGGAAATGCCGGTTTCGATACGAAACAACCATACAAGTAATCTTAATTTGGTCTTGGAATAGGTTTTTTAATTTAAATGGCATTTTCCAAGAACTTTGTCGTATGCAATAGGTTTTATTTTGATACTACAGATATGCTGTTCTTTGCAGATTGCTCAATCGTTTTGAAGAAATTGTACTTTTGGAGAAAGTAAATGCTACTTGCGGCGCCGATGCAAAAATGGCCTACACCGAATTAACTGCCCACATTCGCAATATGTTTCAATGCCAGGGTCGATAGCGGAAAAGCTTCACACAAAATCATGAAATACTAAGTACTCGTACTACTACGGTACACAAGCTCATTCAAATGTCTGCCCGAATCATCCTCCCGCTGTTTCAAACATGACATGGCAAAACTGACGGATACTGTTGTTCCGCTCTCCGGATATTCCTTCTTTCCATCAGTTCTGCTGTTTGCGTGAAGGTGTATCGCTGTATCAGTTTGTTTGCATACGCTAGTAGTATTGCTTGAACCAATAAATTCACAATGGATAAACAAACAAAAAAAGCCGATTCCTGCGCCCCTCACTAAAAACAAAGGGAACGGTGAACGAAAAAAATTCAAAGAGTCTAATCTAAACTTCATCGAAGATTTTCGGAAATACTCGTACGTATTGAATCTACTAATCAAACAGTGCTGCGAAAGACAGCAAGAAAATCAAAACTCTATCATGGAACAGAAGATACCCGTTTACGGTTTGAAACAGATTTTTTCATTGAACGATTTTCATTATGATTTACAATTTTTGCGTAAATATTCAACATTTGGCTACCTAAACTTATCGTTGGAATTTATGGGATATACGGTAAATCGCAGTAAATACGGCACAATAATGTCAGACACAAGAAGGAAAGCCGCCTGTCAGATTTATTTTGTTTAACAACTGTACAGGTAACTGAGGTTATTGAACATATTACATAGGTATGAGCTCCCTTACAGGCTTGAGGTCTCTATTGAATGCTAAAGTACAATAATATGTGCGAGTAGTTTCAAAATTCCGAACAATACTTTTCATACAAAAATCCCATCAGAAGATAACGTAGTGTTATATCTGAAAACATCCATTCGCGGATCGCAATTAATTAGCTGTGACAAGGTACTGTGTTACAGCGAACATTGCAAAACTAAACGCGAATATTTGTCGAACATTTTGCTAAATCACAGGGTTATGACCGTTCAGAGAATGCTGAACCGTTTTTTGCCTGCAAAGGAATACCGACTGCATCTACCCAATCCAAAGTCTACTAGACAAGGAGCAGCTGCTGAAACACTTCAGTAGTGTTTCTGCAGTGTGGATTAACTGCAAGCTGGCCATCGTCCTTTTAAATCTAACTTCGAAAAGTCTGCTTGTATGCAGCCTGATTTTATGGATTACCTAATATATGTAACTGCAAAAAGAAGCATTAGATTGTCAAAGCCTCTCAGTTTTGACGTGGATTATGCTGCCACTTTTGTACTTTTGTTGACACACAATTGAAGCGTATTTTAATGGTTCCGCGCCATGAAAGATACGTTTTCCCTATGTTTACTTATATATTTAGACGTTTACATTTCCTCTGTCATCCAGAAACAGTGTTCTATTTAGAAGAGATCCGAAACAGCAAGGCGAGCAACTGACAGTTGTGCTACAAATGTGCTAATTGACTTATAAAACGCTGTAACCATGGAGAGGAATATCGTCAGCTAACGATGGCAAAACTGATGAATCAACTAGTAATCTGCTGAACTCGAAAAGAAAATAATAACCTTTAATTTAGATTCAACTAATCTAAAAACAGCAGTAAGACGTGCATTTTTGTAGCCTGCAAGGCATTGCATTCTAATACTGTGACTTTTGATTGCGCTGCCTCGGTCAAACTGTTTCCTGCTTTCTTAGAGGACTGTACTCTTTAGCAACATCAAGTCGGTTGCATCTAGGTGGTCACGTTGGGGTGATGCACCACAAATTTCAGACGACGCACTGCTTTCTCGGTTTCGAAGCAGTTGGTTGGTGGGTTACGCACTGCAAATTGTAACTGACAAGAATGCATGTAAACCCACGATCATTGTCCATGCATTTATGTACGACGTTGTACGTATTAAACGAAATCAGCGCCACCTCCTAGCCCTTCGCATCTTACAACTACCTCCCATGATATAAATACGAGTATAAAATGAGGAATCACGGAAAGTTACTACATAAAAAAGTTTCTTTTAGTGGCTCAAGAAGATTTTTTAGGATGGCGATAAAATATGCACATGCGTTGGTACGCGATGCATAATTTTTGATCGCGATTAGAGTTTGTCACGCGCTTCATGATCTGGACCGGATCCTCCTCGAGATCATCGTCAGTAAAAAGAGCGTAATATGTGTCGATATGGTCTATAGGCTATGGATAGACCCGCGAATTGTAATCAGATATTATGGCATGACACTGTGCTTCGATCACTTCCGGTGTATGCATTATCAACAGCCGTCGCATAATTCTAAAAATATTCCAAAGCACTTGTACTAACGAGAATTCTGCTTGGAATTACCATGTGTGCATTATGCAGGACGATGTGTGTATGAATAAAACGGCCTTTAGTACAAGCAGCGATGTAGATTAAGCATCATCAAGGTACATAATTCGTATCCATAGTATTGGTAGCGGTACAAAATAATGACCGTGACAGTGATATACTCGTCTTCTTTGTGGCCGTGGTGCTGGTAATGGTCCATTCCTTCGATCGACTTTTTTCAGCAATCGACTACTTACTTGCGCTATTCAGATATATTGTGACCTGCGGGAAACTGATCACCATGGTATCTCCATTCTCACAAGGTACACGAATCGTACAAATCATTACAGTAAACAGACCCTACAAGCTCATTTTCAAACCGTCAGAAAGCTGTAAGCGGGATACAGTGAAACCCCTCGTAACGTACACCCTTTTATAACGTTCACCCCTTTATCATGTGCATACGGCTGGGAACCGGACTGTCCGGCATATTATAACAAAAAGGGGCCGTTCTCTTTATAACGTTCACCCCTCTACAAGTATAACGTACACCTATCATGGAACGGCATACCAATTTTAAGGTACATTTAACCCCTGCGTTACGTACAGCTGGCTAAGAACGAGAAACAACAATTTCAAAGAAAGCTTCGGCTTCTAGTTTTAAGTCTGCCCAATGCCGGATCATGCGATGCAAAACAGCGAAACGATAAAAAACAACATTTACGTACGTAGTTGGGAACTTAACCTGTCAGTTACCGTACTGTAGCTGTTTAAAAATAGACGCAAAAAGAAAGCATCAGTTTTTTATTGGAGAAAATGCTCGAAAACATTAACGCCGTCAAGTTAGAGAAGTTATTTTACATTCCAAAACATACACGGCGCCGCCTCGGGTTGCTACACACAAATATATACCTACCCCTGGGGGGGGCGCTATTATTCAACCCTAGGGGCAGTGCCTCTACCTAACGTACACCCCTTTGTAACGTTCAGGAAGCAAGGAACGGAGGGTGTACGTAGTAGAGAAGTTTCACTGTATTTCAGAAACGTGGTCTTGACTCTTGAGCCATTCAAAGGGTTCCGGCACGTCACGATACTGTCCGTTAATGCCACTGCGGTGTGAGGTAGACAGTTGTAGACAAGTGAAACAGATTGTGTGATTTACGCCAGTGCATCCAGCGTAGAGTAGATACGTTATTGTACGCTATTTACTGCGTCACGATTACATCGGTCTACAGGTTCAAAACGGGCTTGTACTGTAGCCGCCCGCACAAGTTGCCCCACAGAGTGAGGTATACGGATATTTGGCCTCACATTGCTCGCTGTTCAGCGCAGTGTGTGCAGGGAGAAGGCAGCGGCCGGATCTGCCAATGGAGCAACTTGTGCGGGCGGCTACAGTACTTTGATTTTAACTTTACACATACATGTATACAGTAAAACCTCTCTATAAAATACAGGCACGGTTCCACCAGTTTCGTATTTTATAACGGGGTGTATTTTATAAAGGGAAACTGCCCCCAGGGGCACTAATTACATTTAGGGGGCGGGGGCGACAGCCGAGCAGTATTTTATTACTGTACATAGTTGATAACAATAAGACAGTATGCAACAAGTACAAAACAAATGCAAATCACATCCACTGCTGTCCGAAAAACGATCTAGAGTGACTTGAGTTCTGCTCGCTGTTCTCTCCGCTTTCTAAAAAGCATTGCCGACGCTACAACCATGAACGCAATCAACGCTCACGTTGCTCGCTATATTCGACGGTTTTGTGACTGCATTAAACTACATCCGGGTAACTGAATGCAACTGTATTTAACCGGAGCTGAATGTTATGCGGAGGTTCTCTACACCGGTAAAACTACATTCGGTTCCGCGAAAGGTGTATGTAACTCTTATAAAGAGGTGAATGCTATAAAGAGAATCCCCCCTATGTTATAACATGCGAGCCAATCCGGTTCCTTAAAGGTTGTATGTTATAAAGAAGTGTATTTAATAAAGAAGTGTATTTTAAGAGAGGTTTCACTGTATGCGCAATTCACAAATTACAAATACAGTTTCCCTTTATAAAATACACCCCGTTATAAAATACGAAACTGATGGAACCGTGCCTGTATTTTATAGAGAGGTTTTACTGTACTTATCTCGCACCGTTCAAGATTGGAGTTCTAATAGCGTGTGTTTTGTGACTGGCTCATGGTCCGAGTTTTTGAAGGGATTACTTGTGACTGGCCCATGTTATGCGTGAAAGTCAAAAACAAAATTGAAGATTTCGTAAAACATTTGTTTCGACAATTTTGTGCCTTCCGAAAACTGGAATACTTCCGTGGTCAATTGTCTAAATAGGTAGCAGAAGTGATCGAACAAATGAAGTGGAAATATTGCTGTTGGTGGTAGAGGAGGTACCCGTATTTTAGCCAAACATTTTGTGCCGATTGCCATTAATCGCCCTAGGATTCTGATAAATTTTGTCTTACCGACACGGAGCGCTGATGACGTCAACAGCGTGATAAGCTTCCCGTATATCTTCCTCTGGACCGTTGTCCAGGCCCACTGGAAAATACAGCTTTAACATGCATCGCACAATTTCCGTCAGGACTAACTTGTGGCTGCTGTTCGCGCACAATTCTTTGTAAGCATTTTGCGGTACAGATGTATTTCAGTGTCATCGTATGGTCTAATTATGTAACACCGTTTGGGAATGCACTCGCCGACAGCTTCCATCAGTCTGCAGCATAGTGGATCAGTTTGAAACCTTTAACGGTTTAACCATAGCGTCAACTGTCAATACACTAAATCGTATGCTTACTTGCACACTGCATCAACCACTGGTTCGGGGTCAACAGTTTCCGGTCCCTTTGGGCTATTTGTAAAAAGCGATAATATGGCATCGTAGAGCGACGGTCCCGACTCTAATTTCGCATTACTTAATGCAGCGCATTCGTCATAGTTTTGAATACCAAGCTCCTGACAATTCGACGATAAGTGTGGACAATGGTACTCGCGGGACAGAGAACGACAATGCACAA